TGGCAGATCGAAAATAATACACAAAAATGCACACTCCACAATAGTTACATACAATACGTCACCAATCAGACAACGTACTACACAGTACAATCAGCCACACTCAAAACAACTGACACAGACAACAATACGCACTACAATGCAGTCGCATGCATTGAACAACCAAGACACTTAAGGACTAAAGAGATAGAAAACCTATTCAGTCCAAAGTCCTTGGAACAAAAGTCTGAATGATACTCTTCCGAGAATCACTCACTCAAAGTCCAGCGTTGTTGTCGTTCCGTAGTTCTCGAAGTTTCTCTTCCAGGAAACCTCGCGTCCTCAAATGGCCACTCTCCAAGCTTCAAACTTCTTCGCCGGAAATCCGTCGGCTTCACACACGCAGCTGTTGCCCGCGTCTTCGCTCGATAGCGGTAAACCCACGCTCTTGCCTGTAGCTCGAGCCGTCCCTACGGACCAAAAACTTCGCCGACTACACGGCGGACTCTCTACGCACTCTGGCGCTCACTTCCGTCTCCTCCTGTTCTGTCACTACGGGCAGAACCTTCGCCGACTACACGGCGGAATTCCTACGCGCTCCGGCGCTAACTTTCCGTTTTCTCCTGATTTCTCGTCTCGGCCGCTCGATTAAATACCTTCCGCGCGACTTTCCAGATGTTTCTCGTCATTTCGTCGGCGCGATACGCAGCGAAGGCTGGGGAGAGGCACGAGACGGTTCGACTGCCCTCTCCGGAGGATGATTCACTCGGTCTGACCCCGCCTCCTTCGTTCTAGAAAAATCGCGGCCTTGCTGGGCCGCCGATGTGGGGTGAGGAGGATCGTCTGCGAAGCCGTGCTTCTGCAGGGAGAGCGCGCGCCCGGGAGCCCTGGATGTTTGCTTTCTTTTTTTTTTCCTTTTTACCTCACGGCGTTTCTGCCGCCCGTTGTCGCAAGGATTTAGCGGCGCGCTCTTTCTTTAGCACTCGTTCTGTGACAACAACTAAGCAACCACTTTTACAGAATGTTATATTGTAACTGCGGACTCTTCCATTTTCCTTGCCCATAATTTTCAAGGCACAAGTTCACCCATAATAAACTAGTTTTTGGTGTTTCTTCTCTTCGACCTGTTACATTCTGGTGGACGACGCTAGGTATGATTGGAAGCCCCCTTGGTGCATGAGAGCGAAGCCCCGATCCTTAACGATTGGAACCTGGCGAACTGACTCCGGTACACTAGCGTTCAAGCCGCCGCCTTCGAGGAGCGCCGCCTGAATTCGCACCCCTCCCCAGTACTTCAGCAACGCAAGCAGCGTCCACAGACAACGAAATAATGGCTTGCCAGGTGACATCATCGGAACTTATTCTGTCCCCACCGTGCTTGCCTGAGCCCTTCCACGACGACACGTTCGGAGATGTAGAAGATTGGTTAGAACACTTCGAGCGGGTTGCGAAGACAAACGGCTGGGACGAAGCAAGGAAACTGCGCTGCGTGTACTTCGCATTGGAGGATGCAGCGAGGACGTGGTATGAAAATCACGAAGCGTTCATACCGACATGGGAAGAATTTCGACGACAAATAGTAGCTACATATGCCAGCACCGATCGTCGGGAGAAGGTGGAGAATGCTCTACAGTCCAGAAACCAGCGCACGAACGAAAGCGTTGGCATGTATATTGAGGACATGTCCCGCCTTTTCAAACATGCTGACCCGAACATGACTGAAGAGAAAAAGCTGCATCACTTGATGCGAGGTGTCAAACAGGAGTTAATTGCCGGTTTGGTACGCAACCCACCTCGTACAGTTGCTGAATTCCGCACCGAAGCCACCTACATGGAGCGGGCATAGCAGCAGCGCTCCCGTCACTACAATCATAATACCAGTAGTGTTCCTGCGGATGTCCTCTCAGCAAACCTGGGCAGCAGCAGCGAAGCATTGAGGTAAATGGTGCAATCAATTGTGAAGGAAGAGCTCGAGAAGCTGCTGACCTCACAAGTCCCAACGCCAGTTTCGTCTCTCACTACCCTGATCAGAGATGACGTTCGCCACGCCATTCTACAAGCAAAACATGAGGCGCAACCTGTTCGACTTGAACAGCAATTGCAGGAATGCCTCGTACTGACTTACGCCGATGCTGTGCGCCAGCCCGCCATGCATACTGCTTTGTTTGCAGCTCCCTGTGGCTACCGACCGGCTTTGCGTGGCTCAAACTATCCAGCTAATTCGAGGCCACGGAAAAGCGACGTGTGGCTCACACCTGACAGGATGCCGCTCTGTTTTCACTGCAGCAAAGCTGGACACCTGTACAAAATGTGCCCATATAAATGTGCCCATATCGACGAGTTCGTCTCCGTGGGTTTTCTCCAAACACGCCAAGCCCCCGAAATGGTGAAAGGCCCGTTGAAATCGAAGATTACTTGTCCGGCCATCTGTTTCCAACTGCTGGTTTCCAGCATCAGCCTAGATCACCAGCGCCTGCTTGCTATCAATCACCAAGCCCTCGACGATTTAATTCACCTTCTCCACTTTCAACTTCCACACACCGTTGTTCAAACAGTCCCCATCAGGAAAACTGAAGCCAGCGACCTGTGGAGGCAAGGCCGCCGATGTCCGAACAACTGAAGATCCTCCGTCAAAGTCCCAGTGCAGCAACGACAAGTGGAACACTACAACTAGTTTAGGTAAAGACAAAATTTCTTCAGACTTACGCGTTACCATAGACGGGTGTGAATTTAACGTTTTATTTGACACAGGTGCTGATTATTCGGTTGTAGTTACGCTGCCGCAAAGGATTTAAAAAAGTTCCGATGCCTTGGAGTTGACCCCAAATACGCACAGCTGGGGGTCATCTCATTACACCTCTGGGAAGATGTACCGCAAGAATCAGAATTCAAGGCGCTACTTACGTTGCTCACTTTGTCGTACTTCCGGAATGCTCTAGAGATTTAATACTCTGAATAGATTTTCTGCTAGCAAACGGAGCTATAATCAACCTGCAGAATTCTAGTGTCTCTTTTTCGATGAAACTGGCTATAGACACAAATGAGCCAGAGTACACTGCATTACGTGTTATATATTGTGATGTTACCGTGCCGCCACAATGCAGCATAATAGTCAGTGTAAGAAATGAATCATTCGTTGATTCTGAAGCTATAGCGGATGCAAACATAGAACTACTGCTCAAGAAAGGCATTCGTGTAGCTCGAAGCATTGTTCAATTACGTGGTGGATGTGCTGATGTATTGCTCACGAATTTCGGAAACGAAATTCAGCATGTTGCAAAGGACACTGCTATCGCCTTCATGCACGGTTTTTAAACAGTGACGTTCTTATGTTCTCTGGTGTCAGGGCCACCTACTTCAGAACCTGCGCCCGATGACGCGGCAAGAGTAGCAATCAGCCAAAATCTATCACCAGCCAAGAAGAAAATCATTCAAGACCTCATAAGAAACCACCATATGTTTCTCTACCTTGTCAAAAGTACGGCAGACCCAGGTTGTTAAATACCAAATAATAACAGATGAAGCTACAAGGCCGGTACACCAACATCACAGAAGGAACGAGAGATCATAAAGAGCCAAGTGGAAGAGATGCTGGAGGACAATGTCATACAGCCATCCAATACTCTGTGGGCGTCGCCTGTAGTCCTTTTGAGGAAAAAGGACAACACGCTGAGATTCTGCGTTGATTACATAAAGTTGAACAGCCTGACCAAGTGGGATGTCTACCCTTTGCCACGTATTGATGATACGTTAGATCGGCTGTGGCACGCAAGATATTTCTCTTCATTGGATTTAAAAAGCGGTTATTGGCAAATTGAAGTGGACGAAAGGGACCATGAAAAGACTGCTTTTGTAACCCCGGATGGTCTATATGAGTTTAAAGCCCCCACATTCGGCCTCTGTTGTGCGCCTGCAACATTCCATGATGAACAGCGTCCTCTCAGGCCTCAAATGGCAGCCGTGCTTAGTCTACCTGGACGACGTTGTGGTGTTTTCAGCAACGTTCGAACAGCATGTAGAGGGACTACGTTCGGTACTTCAGGCTATCCAGTCAGCCGGATTGACAATTAAACCGGAAAAATGCCAGTTTGGATTCGAGAAGCATCGTTTCCTCGGTCATGTAATCAGCGCTCAAGGTGTTGGCCCAAACCCGGACAAGACTGTGGACACTGATTCTTTATAATATCGGATAGTATATTTAGTCTCTGTGGCAATATGTGGAATAATAAAAATTTATTAGTTTATATTAAATAATTGGAAATTTTTTATAAGTTACATTAAATTTAAAGTAAAATCAAATACTGCATTATTTATTTCAATAATTAAAGCATACGAATATTCGTACAAGCCTACAATTCGCTGTGTCACTCATACTAGAACACCTTGGAAGTGGCACAGTGGTACTGTTCTCTATCAGCAAGAGTCCTACTAGTCATCAGTTCTTCAGAGGCCTCTTCCTCCACTAAGCTTATTGTTACAAAGTCCCAATATGCACAAGAGGCGTTTACAACACTTATTCGTTTACTTAGCCTATACTTGTAGACACGGCCAACTTTTTCTTGGACACTCACGAGAGCATTGCTTTGTGACTACCAAGGCATATTCAACCCATTCCCAAGGTACTTTATCAAATGAAGACATCTTTCACAAAGACTAGCATCTCATCCAACAGGAGTGCGGCCCTCTTTGTTGTTTCTCCAAGGAGAACGACTTCAAGTGCACCCACCATGCCTAACACACCATGTACTATAATTGGCATTACCCATTGAACTTGGTTTCTCAAATCTCAGCTTTGTTTTTTTTTTTGTAGGTTAAAATGTCATTCAGCATGGCACTGCATTTCACGACTCGTTTCAAGAACACACCAGCACACTAAGCAGGCCGATTACAACACGCACGTATTATGTCTACTGCGTATGCACACCGCTAGCCAAACACTGCAACAACTACTTTGCTACCTCAGTAGCACACCCGCGCCACCCGGCACCAACTGTCACCGTACCGCAACAGAAAGAGGTTCACACCTTTGTCGGGCTCACAGACGAGGAATTTGTCGAAGAGCTCGTGATGCAACGGCTGCTTCTCGGTGGACGTGTAAGGCAGGATGTCGTCGTGGCCGACGTAATCCAGCCCTGCGTAAATTTTAGTTATGAGGAAGTTAGGAAACGTACAGAGATAAAACTCAGGCAGCTTCTCCCTATAGTGGCGCCTCAAGCCTGAACGCAGTGCAGAGTTGGCCTAGCGTAGTCTCTAAGTTTTTTCTTCTCTTTTCCATTCTTTTTCTGCCTTTTTTTTCTCTTTATTCTCATTTATTTCTATTTTGCTTCATACTTTTTCTTTTTATTTCTATTTCTGGCTTCCCACTTTTTTCTTTTTCTATTCTTATACCTGGTTTTGCCTGAATTATGCCAGGCGACGACAGCAGCGACAGTCCTGGGCCCCCTTAAGTGCTTTGCACTTAAAAAAAAAAAAAGCAGCTGCAGGCACAGTTATGACGCGCACAAACACAGCTAAGCCTGTGTTTATGGTGCAACAAAATGGTACGAAAGCTGGCAAGACCTGTGAAGGTTGGCTAACCAATACTGCATTAGCTTGCAGTCTGGATTCAAGACTACACTACACATGGTACATGGCACACTGCACATTTGATAAAGCGTCGTCAGTCTGCATAAAGTCCGATACAAAGTGCCGTTACATAGGTGCTCATGGCACAGCCACGTTTGCGTGTTTAAAATGAGCACGCCAAGTACAGTGCAAACGCTATATCACCGAAGCACATGATAGTGTAGTCACGAAATTCGCTTAGTGCCTGGCATGGTGAATGTACTTTTGTTCACAGCAGCATGGAGGCTAAGTACACACGCCGTCTCATGTGTTGTGGAAGATTGTTCAGCCCTGAATTGCTTCATATCAAGATGATAGCTTGATTGTCAAAGGCCTGTGCTGTCGTGAACTTGCTTCAAATTTCATACCTAGAGCCATTTCACTATGCTCTTTAAATGCTTTTACTATTTTAAAGAAGCCTTAAATAACTTAACAGTAGTTCCACTCAAGATACAGGACTGACACAATGTTGACCAGCTTTATACATTTAGGCAAGCGTAAGCTTGAAATGTAGTTTATGCCATTACAAACATTTTTTAATAAAGCCAAAGCTAACACTCCTAGAGAAAACAATGTCAAACTTGAGAATTAAACATTGATTCCTATTCATATAGTGCAATGTATTTTTTTTACGGCTCTTTCCATTCCATGATGTACTAGCATAAATAGTACGCACTACGACAGTACATAGTACCTTTCTGCCACACAGAATGCATGAAATCCAAACTGGTGCACAAATTTCGACTGACACATGATCAAGCTTCTGTGTTGTGACTAAAAAAAATTAGGTTTGATAACTAGCAAATCAGTTAACACAAAATGTAACATGTGGATCTTTAGAAATGCAGGAGAAGCAGATGGCACACATCATGTGGCGTGACTTGAGTCACAGCACTGATCTAAGTGTCACAAAGACAAGGGGAAAGTTACGCCAAGGATAGTACTTATTGAAAGTCACGTTACCCCCTTGACAGTATTTCTGCAACGGCACTCAGTACAGTGCCGTAATTAACCAGAGTGAGCCAAGCAAGACAATGCAAGACAGATTACCATCTGTGAACCAGAACAAGAAAGTTTCGTTATATGAAAACAGCAAGAGATATCTTCTTTAACTTGAGGGCAAGGGGTGTTATGTACTGGTTCACCTGGGATGGCGTAAAGGGAGCGGCTGTTGTCCTGATTTCCTAGAAACGTCACTGCCTCCGTCTGTGTCCGCTGTGAGAAAGAGGGACATCAGAACAAAAAAAAGAAACATCTTCATAGAGCAAGCCATGCAATAGTGTACAAAACCCAGATAATCTCTTCAACAAGCTCAGAGGTGATGAAGCACTGAGAGAAGAATAACGACCACGTAATTACAATACAGATGAACCAAGAAGGGACCTAAAGGCAATCTCTGCCTCTAATCACTTCATCTGGAAAAGACATAGATAATATGTCTTATTACATTACTAAGATCACTTGACAAACAATTAAAGTTACTTAGCATGAGAGCAAGTAATCAGAGGCCAGAGAAATCAACTATGCACAGGACAGCATTATATTTGAAAGCAGCTATGCCAAGCAAACAACACCATCTTCCAGTAATTGGAAGATCCTGGGTTGGAATTCCACTGACAGAAATAATGACTTTTCATCCACTTTATTTTTTTTTTTTATTTAAAGTGGGAATCATTACTCTACAGCTAAAAAACCGCAAAGAATTGCCCCTATGCTTTTGTTAACTTAATTCACTGTCAGTTTGATTAGTACTGTATAGTAAAGAAAAGATAAACCCCTGGAACAGATCCCCCTTTTTCCTGCCATGTTTCAAAACATCATAAAGCCTTTCTTAAGCAGTGCAAGACAAACACTAATCTATATCTCGCGAGATACTTCAGAGACGAATATCTCAGAGGCGGTGGTAGACGTGCATGAGGACTGACTGTGATTTAACAGTCGTCACACACTTCCTCATTGATAGATGTAAGAGTCAACTATTTACTAACAGTTAAATGTTTCTTTAATGAATACTATAGAATTTCTTGTGCCTAAAAGCACAAAATGTGCAGCAAAAAAATGTGATCATATTATCTCAGCTATTCTATTTGCAAAATTAATAGACTTATTTAACGTGCATGCTGAAGAAACCCACTTGGTCTCCGTAGCACTCTTCAAGCAACCTTTTGTAAATAGTCTCATAAACATGCTCATCCTTGTGCTCTGTAACTGCAAATAATGAAAGATTTGATCACCCTCACTAGTTGTTGTTTTGTGGAAGACAATGTTTCGCGAAAAACTTGCGCTAACCATTCCAATGAAATCCAAGGACTGCTCACCACATACGGACAGTCTCTGGAGTCGATGAGAACTTGGTAGTATGTGTGGGTCTTGCCCTTCACCTCACGACCAACGTGGTTGAAGCCGTCGCTGCCCTCCTCTGATCCCCTGCAAGAAACCGTACAGGTGACAAGAATGAGTCTTTCAGGTTGTGACAGCTCAGGCAATTAATGCCGAGAGAAGTCACTCTGTTGAAATTGCTTTTTAAAACTTTTTTTAATATGTGGGGTTTAATGTCCCGAAACCACCATACAATTATGAGAGACATCGTAATGGAGGGCTCCGGAAATTTTGACCACCCTATGTTCTTTAGCATGCACACAAATCTGAGCACCCTGGCCTAAAGCACTTTCGCCTACATGGAAATTGAAGCTGCCACAGCCGGCATTCGATTCGCTCGACCTGCGAGTAAGCAGCCGAGTGCCTTAGCCACTAGACCATCGCGGCCGGGCTCTTTTCAAATCGGGCCAAGCAAATGTGCATTGTTTCATTTGTCTGAACTAAGTTACGGTATAGTACTGTCCCTTGTGCAGTTCCTGCACATTGCGTGCTTCCCGTTTAGCAGCAAGAGGTTCTCTCCTAGAACTCACCACCAAAACTGGTGCACACTGAAATAGGCATGCTCTCTCTTTTATGAGCAAACTGCTGGCGTTCAGCTAGGCGAACCAGAATAATTAGTGCAGTGTGCCTGGCTTTCTACCGCTATATAGTTATACGAAAAAAAACAACAACGAGAACTGGCACTCACTCCGAGTTCTTTTTGCTGGGTATGTCACGATCGTAAACTCTGGCCATCCATGGGAATAGTGTGATTCCTCGGTATCCAAATATTCGATGCAGGAAGAGCTGTCAGATATTCAGACACATTAGTCAAGAGTGCAGCAATAAAAGAAAATACTGGCCAAACAGCGTAATTTACAAACTCGAATCTGCTGCTCTTTTTCTTTACGTTCCAGCAAAGTTGTTAGCATACACACACAGGTGTCAGTAGGAGTTAATGAAAGCAAAATCTAAGGACTTTGTAGACCAATACACATATGTGTGAAGGAAGTGTACCAACAATTTCAGCACAAAATCAACGCACACAAATGGACATTGGTGGCATAGACAACAACACAGCATCTGAAACATTATCATGTTGCATCAACAAACTCGAATCAGTACTCTTCTAATTCGTTCAGAACATTTATGGTTTTACCATAATGTCTATTCTAGGGAGGGAGGGGGTGTGAAGTGTGGGCAAATGCCTGTCTGTGAGAGGGGAGGGGGGTGGTTTTTAATAATTGGGAGGCGGGGGGTATCTTTCTGTAGTGTTTAGGTGCTTGTTGAGTGTGTGTGCATTTCTGTTTCTAGCCCTCAAAAACAAATTTCTGCTAGTGCTCACCACTGAAATGCACGAATAGAATGACTGCACAAAATTAAAGGTGGAACCAGTTTCATATGTGACTCACTATTTGTTGGTGCCACCTTCACTGTCATCGCTCCAGAGCACAGCACAGTACATAATTATTTATAATTAAAGTTATGACGCACTGCGCGACACGTGGTCTCATTTTGACAACACACGCGGTCGTTTTGCTTATTTATAACGTTTTACGGGGCTATAATGCACACGTAACTCATTTATTATACTCGTCTGGGATAAGATATAGACAGTTTAAACCTTTTTTGCAGTTTAAACACGCAATAACAATACACCACTGCAACAAACCACAAAAAACAGGGAAAGACAGAGTAGATCAAAACATCCTTAAACAGCGTTATAAAGAGAAGCTTTGCAACTCTTGGCGAAGGTAGAGTTATTTTACAAAGAATAACGAAAAGATATGCATTGCGACACCATTCTCAAGGAATAGGAATCGGTCGCCACTTTCCCTGTACACGCTACCTGGTAATGATAATATCCCCCCAAAGAAAGAAGCCTACAACTTAGCCCGGTGAATTGGGGACTAAAGTAATCTTCGTGAAGAAATTCCTCCAGTTACTTCCACGGCGTCATTCAGAACATGAAGCGTTTCGCGTATTGGCACAGAGTACAAAATGAGGTTGCACATACACCGACACTATGTGACAGCTTACCTGACCGGTGTCGTATTTGCCTTCGAGTTTCGGCGTTTCCAGGCGGCCGACTTCGGCGAGCCTGCGAGGCAAATGAAGTTTTTTGAGAAGCTGTTTCCAGGTACTTGGTGTCTTGACGGCTTCCAAACTGCCACGCCGCTAACGGAAGTGAAAAAAGCCGCCGACTAAACAAACACGTATCACAGCTGCTGCTCAGCCTCTCTCGAAGTACCTTCTGATAGGATCGGCTCGGCTGGAGGATTTCCAGCGGTGCTTAGAGTGTGGTGAATAATACTGGGGTATTTTTGTTACATTCAAGAAACGTACCTTGTGTACTGTGCGTGCGTAGCATGTTTCCACGGGTAGCTACAGCCAAAGATTTGTTTGCAGGAGCCGGAAAATTTTGTGAAGACAGCGGCCATGTTCGAATGCTGATGCCGACAATGCGGCTGCTGTAATCACGGTGTTGAGCAATCTGGCACTGATAGGTACTTAAAGCGTGCTTACAATAACAACTTGTATTAAAAACTTGTTGTATTAAAAATTATTTTTTATTCGTAAAAAAGAAATGTATAAACATTTTTTATGTGAATGCGGCACTGAGGCTTAAAGCAGACGACTCTATGGTCAATGTCACCACAGAATGATGTCGCTAATGGCGTGGTAGCAGCCGCGTTAGGTGGTCAATAGTTATATCTGTACTAAAAAAAAAAAAAAAGAAAAAGCTCGCCGACCTCAGAGCCACAATGTTCTTGGAATTGAACACGTTCCTCGACTTCGACAACAAGGCGTTGCCGAGGCGATTCGTCGTCATCTCGAGCGACGACACGGTGGAGCACACGTTCGTGCTCAACCACATGCTTATGCTGTACCTGAAGACCGGCCGCAGGGTGTTCCAGCTGAATTTCGTCCACGACGACGCGTTCTTCGCCAGCGTGTGTCAGAAGTTGGGCATCAACCTGAAGACGTACGCCGCCAGGAATGCCTTCCGCAGCTTCAGCTGTCTCAAGCTCCTGAAGGAACTCGTCAAAGGTTCCTTCTCGGACAGCTCGCATCCGTTCGCCTTCCTCACTGCGCCGGCATCCCAGCACGGCGACGACAGACTGTCCGTTCTGCGGTCCCGGATATTGGAAGAGCTGCGCAGCTTCGTGGTCTGTGACGAGGTGGCGACGACAGGAGGCGAAGTGCTCGTCTTGGTGGACGACGCCTCGAGCTTGCTGAACTTTGGCCTCGGTTGCCGCGAGATTTCGGGTTTGGTTCACTCGCTCAGGCTGGAACCTCTTGTTCGAGAACGCGGCACGGTTGTCGCGGGCATGAAGTCCTGCGCCCGCGAGGACGACGCCGACTGTCACCGGCTCTGCACTTACCTCTCTCACCTGGCCGATGCCACGATCGACGTGCGGGGTCTCTCCACGGGACACAGCAGAGACATCACGGGACAGGTGCGCCTTAGATGGTCATCCTTGTGCAGTTCTGGATGCATGAGTAGTTCTGGCCATTACGTGTCGGAAAATACGGCCTTAAAGAAAAATTTGGAGTCCATGGTTCAAGTGATCTTGCCCTTTGTGCGTAAAAGACAGGAACGTGAAACTTTTTTGCCAGTCAAAGGCAACAAAAATAATGTCTCCCATAAGTGGCAGTCGTATTTCTCCTGTAGAATTTGCCAAGAAATCCAAGTTACAACCTAAAATCTGCTGCACGAATGAACTTGGAGCAGGATCCAAGGCACAAAATGAACAGTACTAAACACATGCGCAATGTTTGAATAAGTACTAAATGTGTGTGCCCTTAGCTGGTCCTACTTAACTTTTGGGATAGCCTCAGTTGAAAAATTCAATGTAAGCTTTCTGCAGTGCAAGCTGCTCGGGCCAATTGCGGTTTTATACAAACGTAACTAATCATATCTGACGTTTTACGTCCCAAAAACATGAATATGAGACGCTGTAGTAGAGGGTTCAGGAAATTTTGACCATCTGGCGTTTTTTAGGGGGGCTCCACCAAAATGGGACCGCCACACCACAAACGTAATTGTACTTGCTTGCATACGAAAATGCAATATTAAGCCAGGCAGCCAGCATAAAAGAACTACTTTACTGGTGTGTTGTCTGGAAGTCCTTATTCTAGGTTAATGCAACTGCACGTATTTTAACTACTGGCGATTTGTCCATTAACAAAAAGAACTTTTGTAGCGCTGCCGGCTTAGTAACTCAGTTTCTTACACCGTGGCTCAGGGACAATTGCAACGCATTCAGAGTGGCAAGCTTTGCACATGTTACTGATTTGCCCATCACAGTCTCTTAGCTGGTGCTTCTTTCGTCCAGCACACTAGATCTGATTGCCGCTGACGTCAAGATTTCCGAGCTTCAGCGCGGCGAGCCGAGGCTCGACCAACTTCGGTGTGCGCCAGCTTCGGTGCACAACTTTGTGCAAAGTTCCAGTGTGTGTCTTTTTCAACAACACAGTGTAATTAACAGAGGCCATACTCAATTTCGCACTGCCAACTATGCTCACAGCTAGTTCATGCTTTCAAGAGCCTTCTATAACAGTCTTCTTCCTGATGCAGATTTCGGTGACAAGAACAAGCTACACACAGCTGCCAACAACCAAGCAGATGCACTTCAGAATCGAAGATCGAGGTGTCAAGCTGTTTCCCGTTGGCCTCAACAGGTTGCCATTGCACATCTAGAAATAACTGCTCACACAGCCAGACACGTGGGACCAACAATATTTATTGATAATATTACTGCAGAATAAATACATAAAATGTAGTAACAAAATGGAACTACTCTGCACTGCAGGAGCTAAATAAATGAAAATGCACACAAACACACGACAGAAATCGTGCCATAAAGCACAAGCTGGAATGTTGCTTGGTGCAGGCAGGTACAAAACATATTACAACTAAGACTGGGACAACAACAGCTACAGTAATCTGTTTAAAAAATCTTACCAAGCATACAACTTAACAATGTTAACATTCAGAGTATCGTAAAACACAGGTTTCACAAAACGAACACTTCGTAAGCCCAGGAATGGCAAAAAAGAATAGCATGGAATCCACCAAAGCAGTCCCGGTCATTGAGAAAAGTACACACATTGGTGCAACCGACAGCTGCCATTTATTGCAAGATCTACATATTAGACATATGGCATTCATCACATGTTCTGTGTGCCTTTCAAATTGCAGCACACCAATTCGCATTACAATAAATAACAACAGTTAGTACAGCCATCTTTCACGCATGCCACTTTTACTGTTGCATCTTGCTATGACACACGAACTTGCCCAATATCTGCACCTGCGAATAGAACTTGTTCTAGACGTAGCTTACTTCACCATGATGACTACAAGAATCAATCTACAACTGCTCTCATGGTTTTACTCAACATAGAACTCTTGCCTTTCTGTTGCATAAAACCACAACCTAAGCCTTGAGGCTGCAAGTGTCTGTGCAACAAGTTCCAACCGAACCCAAAGGGAATGCATTAAAGATTGAAAGAGAGTTTGAGCTACCACAAGCTAGTCTATAACAGGAGCTCTAGAGCCGATTGATCTACACACGCACGTGTCTACAGAGAAAGAAGATTTGACTGTACGAGACATGAATGAGAATTGAGTGCACACAAACTTTTAGAATACACCTGTAGGTTCTACAAGGGGCTAAACTTTGCCAAAGTTGAAGTCTGGAATGGAACAAACCTTAAACGAGTGCATACAACAACGGTGAATTACAGCTTCTGGCTTGATGGCTTGCCGAAAAAGGCCACAGAGCTTACATGGGCTTGGAGCAACGAGAAAGTTCAAGAATGGAAATAACGGATCAATGCCAAGCATTACCACAAATATAGATAACAGAGTTTATTCAGAAACTAATATAGCAACCAACCAATCGGGTATGCTATGTGCAAGACATGGCCACAAAGGTGGTTCCTACCGAGTTGACATCTTGGACAGTCATGTGCTGTGGTGTCAGCAAGACTGTGGTGGTCTCCACAAAGGAAGCGTTAAGCAAAAGCTGCAGTTGATTACTTTCCGTAAAATGGACTGCCAGAACATCACAGGATACATCGTATACTCATTCAGCCTTTGCATAACTATTGTGGCATTGCATTTTGCCAATGCCCTGAGTATAAGTGGAGTTATCCGCCATTGTGTGCCATTCTTGAGCATTTTGAATAAGCATAAATATTCACGAGTGCCTCGAGAAAGGAGGAGTTATCACATCCAGGATATTGCACATTTTCTTACCATGACCCTGCAGCTGATTAGCTGTGGAGGTAAGTATCGCATTAAGTGCACAAGGGTGTGCAAAGTGTCATGTCTTGTGCAAAAGATTGTGGCATTATTAATGCAAAGCAACCAGAAAAAAAATTACACTGACGTAACCTGGCTTATCAGTCCTGCGATAACACACGTACATCCCAACTCTCACTACAGCCACAGTAAAGGCTGAAGTTGCTTTACTCTGCAATGCACAGACTTGCTGAAGACACACAGCAATTCACTTACAGAGATCTTGGCAGAAGTTAGCTGCAAGCAGTGACTGTTTCGGAATGACTTCTTTGTCAGAATTTAGTTCCTTCCTCATGTCAACTTTCAATCTCTGCGTTCAACTATAACTTGGAATGCAAAAAAAGAAAAGCGCGGCAAGTCGCCACAAGAACAGTGTCCCACAGGAAAACAATCTTGTTAACATGCTAGCTAACGAATCCTTTTCAGCATGTTAATAGGAGCACTACATCCAGCTAATTCTTTGGCTGCACACAATACCTAACGGTCTTTCGTTTCACTAGCCAAAAAACAGTATAAAGGGGAAGATGGAAGCTTGCAATGAAAAATTCATAAACAAGGGTTGTGTCGAGCCAACGTTTCAACACAACCCCTGTTTACAAATTTTTCGTTGCACTAGCCAGTCAACAGTTACGCAACACAGCATGCAAACGCACGACTAACATGCTCGTACGTTCCAATGCTGTTAATAGGCACCCATCAAAACTTCCAAAAACATGGCATTAGCCACTTTTCTCAGGTGTGTCGCAAAAATTACTAGCTAGCACGCTAGTAATATTTAGTGATCCACTTTCAAAATGCGTGAGGCAGCAGCAGCAGCAGACTTTGAACGTCGGGTGCACTGCTTGTAAACCAGTTGTCAACGTTGGCAACCGACACCAGTGCAACCACCTAGATTCTAGAAGATGGCAGTAGTTGGCACTACAATCTACATCACTTCTCATTTTATCTTGCGAGAGTAACACAAGCATTCACGTCGCACAACTTGTTTTTGAGCTTTCATTACACAAGTACGTGCTGTTCACGCACCCAGTAAACCTCCGCTACGGAAAAATATGGCTGCCAGAGGCTCTAGTTAGATCCGACAGTCGCTCATGAGAAAGCCTCCGATAGCTTGCAAACATTCGAAACTGCACCAATTGTGTCCAATCCACATAATTTCATTAAGCAACAAAAGTCCACAGAAATGGCATACACCAAATAGTCCTGCTAAACTTACTTTTGATCATAGAAAAAAAAAAAAAACACGCAAAACAAGCTCAGAGGATGCTCAGGCATAAATACAATGCACTATTTATTCTATCGTACGTTTATTGGCGACACTCTCCATAAACTATACTTAAACGTAGCACTGTGATGTAAAACAAACAATCTGGCAGTATTTTAGCCAAGGAATGTACATTTTCATGTTATTATGGTAATGACTGGAACACGTAACATAAACTCTGAAACACATAAACAAAACAAACACTCAAGACAAAACAAACAGGTACGTAACATGCAAGAAAAAAAACGCATTTCACGAGTTGCCTCTAAATTCCTTTGGCTTTCCTCTACACAGTAAGCCATCCATCCGCTATGCTAATAGGATCGCCCACTAGACTAATCTCACGCACAAAACACACAAAGGCAACAGCGTAGTATTCAGGCTTTCCTTATCAACAAAAAACACAGGCAGTTATATCGTCTAAAAGAAAACAATTATATTTACTTGTACAAATTCATAAACATGCCTATTTTACTAGATCCCATTTTAACTGTCCATCTCGGACATCTGATTCACTTGCGTTGTTTACATGACTAATAAGTCAGGCTTTGTCCAGTTGATAGAGGCTGGATCTTAATGCATCAAAGCTGCCAGGTCACAGCAGGCAGTCATGTGATGGTGGTTACCAACTCTATGGCAACCTAAGCCCTCTATAATGAAGACAACGTTAAACTTCCTTATAAAGCAACATCAGCTTTTCGTCACGTCTCAGCTTAATGCTCCGAGAGAAAAAAAAACACTAGGACAAGTCCCAACGTGGTGGTGGCAGCTGCACGTCAGGATTTTCTATAAGCTTTTGCGTCCTTCCATTCAATGGTTAGTCAAAGTAAAAGTTCAAGTAGCATATCGAAGTTCCATCCGTTTACCGGGAGCATAACTCGTCACTTTGCGAAGGTGAATTCGTCACAGAATAGTCGGCTCACAGAGGCTACACATTTGCCACTGCTCGTATATTGGATCGGCTTGGCTCTAACGAATCTGTCGACTTTGCTCTATAATCACAGCGTAGGTTGAATTGCAATTCTTATAACGCATGGTATTATATGCACAACATCTGCCTGTCACCGAGGTCTAATATAGATGAACCGAGAGATTTTTTTCAAAGCAAATGGGGATTTGCAAGGTCAGCAAGCAGTTCAAGCACTCAGTCGAGTAGTTGAATTATTACTGTCATCAAAACGGCGGCAGTTCTTTACAACTTTTTGCCCTGAGCACAATGCATCTGAGGTACATCAGACTTTCAACACCTTGCTGATAAGCGTTGAATGCACTAGGAATTTCGACGTGTATACAGAGCATTCTAGCATTGCCTTGGAGTGCTTGCACGCAGTGCGCGAGTGGTGACTCACGCTGCACATCCATTTATTGATTAGCTACTGGCTGATTTTGCCGTCTCACGAGATTACGCCACGACACAGGGCATGAGGAAAAACAAAACAAATTAGTGCAATAAACAGGTTCAGTGGCAACGAGCGTGACGTTTAGATACGCAAGTGCCGAAACTAGAGGAATGTTTTCACTGGGGGGTGCTGTCGTGGTGAGGCTTAGAAGTCGCCGTGCGGCTGGCACCACTTTCATGGCTCTTCCCGCCACCACTCACGGCCGCGGCCGCCACACCCACTGCTGTCGCAGCTGCCGTGGCGGCAGCTCCGTGAAGAGATGGCGAAGCCGGCAACGAACGAGCCGCGCTGGACGGGTGTCCCGACGATGAAGCAACAAATGCAGATGGGGATCCACGGCCATCCTGAGCGGCAAGCCAGCCTGCATTTTCATTTTCACAAGCGGTCAATGCACTGGCCCGCATAGTGACCCACAATGCCATGTGAAAACATTTTCGCATTCATCCGGATAAACTTAGAAGTCCCGTGGTGCTCAATGGGGTAGCTCGATTAATTGGACACATTTACATAATCACTCTGCTAAGTGATGACATCACTGAAGAACATCATTGCCGTAAAAGCTAGTGAATTTGAACTTGAAGGTAATTATAAGATTATTCCAATTATGTGGCATTTCAATTAGGGGGGTGGGCACTAGAATGAATGAACAGTGTGCTACATGCACCTGTAGAACCCACAGAAGCCACCTCTGTATTGTTATTGCGAACTAGGGGCTACTACACGGTTGCTGTGGGTGATTTCGTAAATAATTTCCATGGAGCTCTGATAGTGAACATAATATATGAGACAATGATATGCCGGAAACAAGCCTGGAAACACTGGAAATTCACGTGAGCAATGAGCCTTAATGTCGAAATATAAGACGGTATTTATGCCGCAAAACATTTACTTACGAGGCAGAATCAAAATTAAACACAATCAAAATTACAAGTAATCAACAGTTCACATTAGCTTACACTTCTTCTGTCGCGACACCATGAGCATCATTTGCAGCTTGCCCAAGAGCTCCAACGTAGCATGCGAAGTCTCATCTGCTTAGAAATACTGCTGTTTGGTCAGTCTGCATCTCTAGTAAACTTGGTTTGATTTGGTTTTGCAACAAATTGTGATTCACTCTATACCAACTTCTGTGAGGAGCAATTAAAGCCAGTGGACTTCCAGTTCGTATTACCAGGTATTGCCCATTGTAAGCCGGTGTTTTTTTTCATAAAATGGACTTTTAAAGTTCGGGGGTTGACCTATATTGACCAACCGGGGTTGACCAAACCTGAGTCGACCTATATTAAGAATCGTAAAGTTGATTTGGAATCATAAAGTAGACTTTTATAGGGAGTCCAACAAATAGTCGTCATCCTTAGATTCACTGCTATTCAATGCATTGATAACAACATCCGCAGAGGCAATGGAGTTACGGGAACTGCTGTCTCCCAACGTGCGTGCGCCACTTCTGGAGCCGGACACTTTTTTAACATTCACCTTCACGATCGCGAAACTATGATACAGTCGAGCCCACATATAATGGCCCCACATAAAACGAACTTTTGCTTAGAACAAACAATATCCACGTGACCGTGAAAATACATTGATTCAATGGCACGAAATCGCACTTACAACGAACGTTTCCAAGCGCCGCCAATTGGTTACAGCATACGGGGTCGGCGCTCTGCCCAATTCGCGGGAAACCACTTTCGACCACCGATCAGGCATCGGCGAAGTGCCCATACATTCTTATTGTTCAACGGCAACCATGCCTCCGCACCCCTCTAGTTGCCGCTCTCCCCGACTGCTTTTTGTTATGCACCCCTCCGTCCTTTGTCCCCCTGCTGCTCTGAGCATTCTGCATTGCCAGACGAGGCCCGTGTTTTCACATTGCCACCGATCTTTCAAAAACCGGTCGGCCATCTCCCCTGTTTTTGATCGTTAGTACTGTCGTTGGCGTCACCAGCCTGGCGTGACCAGAACATTTGCCAACATCGTCGGCCACCGACTGTATCCGATCATCTGCGCCTAGTGTACGCGTGTACGCGACCCCACCGACTTTGATAATTCGCAATTCGTTTCGTGTTTATGACGTGTTCTCGCTCACTTCGCACTCAGCTCAGCATGCCTCTTCGCACAAGTGCGGAAGTGCAAAAACGGCTGTTCATTTATGCGAAACGAATCGCGAAATTGGAGTCAGTGAGGCCACGCAAACCCTCCGGAGCAACAAAACGATTTTTTGACCACGGCCGCCAATTCTTTGAACACTGCCGCGCACGCTGATCCAAGCCGCCGCGCTTTGACTTCTGCGCGTGAGTTGCGCGTTTCGCAGACCTTTCAAGGAAGCTACCCGATCTGCCTGCTTCCAGCGTGTCTTGGTTCTCAAGGTCACCCCTCCCCCGCCGTATCCTCCCCCTTCACTCTATCTCAACTTCTTGCCCTTCTCTCAGCAAATCTGCTCTCCTGTGCTGATCACAACCCCTTTGCCCGTCTCCACCGCTCCGCAACGCCAGCCACGCTGGCTCAAATTAGTTTCGTTTTCTGACTAAAAACGGGCCCAGAGCTGTTCTATGCAATCTGGTATATGCGTCGCGTGTGCGCATCTTGCTCGCTCTTGGTGTGCGAGTGTGGTCACGATGGCAGGTGGGAGGACTTGCACGCTTTTTCCTGCTGCTCAACAAAACGTCGAAAATGTGACCGCTTGGCTTGAGCGTAATCCGCGCGTTAGGTGCCGTGTGGCGGAGCCTTGCTCATATTTATTGACCGCTTGGCAGCCAACTTGCCGCTGCGGGTGTTCCGGTATTCAGCTGTGGCGATCGTGAATATTTCGTAGGCGACGGTGACGGCTACATGCACGCGAAACTGTTTTCGCGAGGTGGACTTTGTCGTCAACGTCGGGCCCAATGCCAAGCCTGAAGCTTCCTAACAGAACCACTGCGGCGGCGATTTGTGGCAGCGCGCCATCGACTCCGACATGGGACAGCAGGTTGGACATCTGTTGCGATGGCTTTATTACGGCCGATGATAATGCTGACACCACGGAACCGTGCACGGATTAGGGCATTGTGAATGAAGTGCACGGCAAGAGCGATTTGGAGGAATCGGATTGCTAAACGACGAAACTGTGGAGCCAGTGCCTCATGCAGCTTGTGGCACAGGTCTTGGCAAACGAGCACGCTGCCGTTTGAAATAAACTCGAGACGCCCCTTATCGCTTCTGCTTTTCGAAACACGTGCATCACGGACTTTTCTGGGCAAAAAAAGTTGGTGTTTTCACTCGCAACTTTTTTAAAAGCTGTGTTTCATTTACTATGAACTTCGCAATACAGCGAACAGATGTTGCGTAACGGCTCAGGTTCGTTATAAGCGGGCTCGACTGTATAGCTATGGTGGTCACAAGAGGAGGTATGAGCAACGACGCGTCAGAGCTACAGCATTTTTCCATAATGCGTCGCCGACGGCACCACAATTTCAACGGTAGCACCACCGCATCAGCGCGTCTGTCAGACTAAATCGGCAACAACACCGGCGCTTGCCCCACATCTCGAGTCACTTCTGTCTGACATGAGTGCCGTAGGCTCGAAGAACACTCGGCGCTCGTTTACGGCAGCGTTTAAGCGGGCTGCTATTCTTCATGCGGAGGAAACCAACAACTGTGCAGCAGGACGGAAGTTCGGAATCGGTGAATGTGTGGTGCGGAAGTGGCGGCTTCAGCGCGAGGAAATTTTCTCGTGCGACTCCAAGCGCCGTGGCTTTCGCGGGCCGAAGTCTGGCCGCTTTTCGGAACTAGAGGCGAAGCTTGCGGCCTACTCACACTTGACGACGACGTGCTGTGGGACTGCAGCAGCAATGACGGCAGCAGCACCAGCGAGGACGACTCCAGCGACGATGAATAGTCCTCCGCAACCACGTGAATAAATTTCCCTTGTGTAAAATGCACGAGTTCTTTTTTTTTTTTTGAGATGCGATTTTGGGGGGGTCGTCTTACATTCGAGTCGTCTTACAATCGTGTAAATACGGTAGGTATGACAGAGCATTTGGCTTGCGAATAAATGCGACATGCATTTATTGCTGTCCAACGATGTGACATACGTTTATCTGTCGCAAAAACTCAACATGTATCTTTTGCTCACAAAAAACGTGACATTTGTCCTTTGTAAAACACGTGACATGCATTTCTCGCTTTACTGGACAGCGTGCCCCAACAGCACTTGCCGACTAGACAATTCAAGAATACAGATTTCTCACGAAGCATGATGGGCATTCCACGGAAAAGCTGGCAGCGCCATTTAAACCAGCAACGCTTCGCGAGAAACTAAATGACATGACCAACCACACGTGCCCAGCGCATGAACCCACAAGCGTCTTCACGCCTTTTCACGCTGATGCTTGTTCACCATTTCTGCATTTCACCTCGCTTGCGAACACGATTTGTGAAGCTGCTCCACGGACGCCAAGATGCCTCCGCTACATCGGAGTACAGCACAGCTTTCAAGCGACAAGCAATCTTCTACGCAGAGTTGAAAAGCAACGTTAAAGCAGGCCAAAAGTTTGATGAGACTGATAAGTGCGTGAGGCAATGGAAAAAACAAAGGACCAAGATCTTTGCATGCGCTGCAACACGCCGTTCCTTTTGTGAACCAAATTCAAGATGATACCCTGCCATTGAGGGGAATGGTTTCAGATTGGCTTTTTGACCGAAGAAGCTAAAGATGAGCTCTTGCGACGATATTGAAGCAGAAGCACGTACTGTCGCAAAGGATATGTGCATCTCGCTAACCGAGTTCAAACTATCAAAGAGATGGATCACGAACTTCATCAAACGGAACGGCCTGAGCCTAAAACGACACGCAACTGTATGCCAAGGGTTGCCCGAAGCCTATGAAGAAAAAAACAGCGTGCATTTCTTTGCTACGCGAGTGACCTGAAGGCAAGGCATTCATTCCTGCTGGGTCAAATTGGCAAATCGACAAGACTTCCGTCTGCTTTGCCTGGTATGGGCTGCCAACCGACGTGGTCTGTGCGGCGTTTTCCACGCGCGGCATCTCAAAACCACCAGCAGCCCTTTCAACGGCGAGCATCAGCAGTGGCTCACACGAGGCAATGACTGGGACTGCTGCATCCTTGTTTCAAGCGACGACGAGCCGTGAGCGATGTTTCATAATCAAATAAATCTTTCTTTGCATTACTCCCTCATCTGGAAGACTTACTGCAGCGTGAGGCTGTATTCGGAGTCAACTTTTTTTTCTTAGAAGTGGTTGCAAGTTGAGGGGTAACTTACTGTCGGCAAAAGCTGGAGATACCGATTTGCTTTACGCGCTGCGGCGTGCTTCCTACCGGGCTGCAGAAATCAGGCATCTTCTTCTTCTTCTAACCACCACCACCATTTGGTTGTGCGCGGTTGCAATGATGTCACATCGGCAGAGCTACACAGGTGACTTCAAGTGCCAAGCGATACTTTTTTGCCGAGGACTCGAGCAATTGTGTCGTTTTGCGTAAATGAGGCGTTGATTAGGGGTTGGCGAAAGCAGCGGGACCGTCTGTTTGCATGCAAATGTCGGCGCCGTGCCTTTCACGGCCCAGCAATCAGCTGCAGTGGCAGCAAGGACGATGTTGTTTGAGAAGTCGCGGATGCTTGCGAAGAATCTGATGACGACATCATCTTGCACATCTGTCAAAATGACGGCCCCAGCCGCGATTAGGGCGCTAAGTTATGTACAGTCGACTCCCGGTAATTCGAAGTCGCTTAATTGGAAGTTTTGGTTAATTAGAAATGAGCAAGTGGTCCCATCAGTTTTGCATGCAATCGTATAGAAAAAAATGCTCGATAATTCGAAGTTAAAAACCCATAATATTGGTTAATTAGAAGTTTTTTCAATCGACAGTCTCGTCGCGACCGCAATTTTACAGTAAAATGGGGAACTTTTCATATGCCAAAACATCTGCCGGACCGCGCTGGTGTCTTCGCCATCACTACTGTCCGCAGCGCCACAGATTTTGAAGTGGCAATCTTTTTAACGCTGGCGAATCGCATCGGCGGCATCGACTGAGTCTTTCGTTGACTTTTGTCGAGACTCGAGTGTGTCACCGCGTCACCCGCACGCTGGGTTGATTCCACACGTGTTTCCGCGCTTCTGATTTTGAGTGTTGTGGTGGTGACGTACGTTTGATAATGGCAACTCGTGGCCCTTACCGAACGCTAGACCTAGCGACGAAAGTCGAAGTCTTGAAGGAAGTTGACCAGGGAGGCACCGCCAAACAAGACATTGCAAGAAAGTACGGCATTAAGCCTAACACGCTGTGGACTTTCATAAAAAATAAGCGCTCAATATTGGATGCGTTTGAAAGTGAAAAATTCAAGACATCGCGGAAGCGGATGCGCACCGGAGCCTACCCCGAGTTGGAGGAAGCACTGCTGATTTGGATCAGAGAGGCACGAAACAACAAACTTCCTCTCAGTGGTGAAGTCGTCACAGCAAAAGCGTCATCGCTTGCTGAAATGTTGGGCATCAACGACTTCGCTGCTTCGGATGGGTGACTTACGCGTTTCAAACATCGCCACGACTTGATTTTTAAAAGCGTGTGTGGGGAGAAGGCGTCAGTCGATGATGAATGACGATGATGACGACGACATCGGAAATGAGCCACCACCGAGGGCTGCCGATGTAGCTGCGGGTCTTGCTCTTGCGAACGCCGAAGAAGCACTTCGACACGTGTATTCCTTACAAAACTTGCTAGCCGCAGCCAGATTCGGCAAGCAGAAGAAGATGACAGACTATTTTTCCTCAAAACTGTCGCGCTTTTAAACTAATAAAAGTGCCGTTTTTAGTGCTTTTTGCTTAATTCGAAGTTCGTTTAATTCGAAGTTTTTTGCGGTTCCCGTGAACTTCGTATTAACGGGACTAGACTGTAAATAAAGGTGTGCTACGTTTCAATTTGTCTGCTTTTAAACTAAAAAAAAAAAGAAACATTGGTTGACCTATATTCGTTTTTTTTTTCCTCTCATGCTAACTATAAGTAAAGGTCGACCTATATTTGTGCCTGACCTATTTTCGAGTAAATACCATACTTTTTGGTTATTTCTGTTAATTGTATTGAGCATTTCTAGCCTTGTTATGGCCAGCAGCGAGCGTGACCCCACCTTACGAGATGGTTGGACGACAAGCCAGTCATCTGAATGCAGTTCTTACCCGCTATTCCCTGAGTAGACGCTCGAGCAGTTGCTGAGGCAGCCGGTACATCCCCATGTGATCCCCTCCTGTCCTTGGCTTGCTTTGGCTCTGGATTTGACTGTCTTGGTAAGCCATCACTGCACAAAGAAAAGCAGGGCACCTAGACCTGTCAAAGTGAACCATGAACTATGGAAAGGGTACAAGCACAGACCTGCAAGCCATGCTCGACAGAAAGCCATCGCCTAATCAGCTAAAGGTTTTGGTTTATAGTTGGATTGCAGCACAGTGGCATTGCAGGGTGGCAATGATCATACGACACTACTTGCATGCAACAATAATTGCAATATTAATTATAAATTAGACAAAAGAATCCCCTTTTGTTGCACTGAACAAGAAATTTGAAGACACATGCTCATACCGCAAAAAAAAAATGCTTATATTCACAATACTTGGGAACTGCACTCAAATGATCAAGTGACAATGGCGATTCATGTCGAAAAGTAATCACCAGCAAAATGTAAAGCAATGCATATGTGGTAATATACACAATATCGTGTTATCAGGCGTGCTCAACAAGTCGGACAAAAACATTTCCTACGCGACAGCGACTACAATGCTAACTATTCACAGTGAATGAATTAAAATATTTGTACTTATATTGGTTTTAGAAACATTGTACTGAAATATCGTATTTTCTTGCATATAACCCATCCCTGCATACACCCTGTACTCCTATGTTTACCTCTATAAAAAGAGAAAAGAACATGCACCTAACCCCTGAAGATAACCTGCATCCCCCCTTTAAGCACACTTTCTTCATTTTCAGGTATGAATTACACTCAAACCTCGATATAATAAAGTAAATGAATACAGGGGTGGAAGTAGACTTCAACGTTTTGTAGCAGCTCAAGAAGCTGTTTGGGAGCAGCTATGGCACAGTAAAAGGGGAGTTTTGAAGCAGGTTTGGAGCACCAAAAGCTGTGTTTCGAAGAAACGAGAGTTAGTTTTGGAGCAGCTTTCTAGTCAAACATCATTGTCAATCAAAATTCCCAAGCAGGTGCCTCAACGTGATGCTTTTCATTTCTTATTTTTTCCAAAAAAGGAAGTGTTACAGCTAAGCCTTTATAAGTAGTTTTCGGATATAGCGAACTCATTTTCGTGTAAGATGAAACTTTGTTATAATGAAGCTTGAGTGTAGTTAAGGCATACCACAGTTCTTTCACCACGGCTGAAGGAATACACCAGTTCAAGAATACCTGACACAAGCGAGCATCTGCTGTGGGGAAGTCCTGCGAGGCAGCTCGGCAAACGACTCGTCAGGGACGGCAAACAGTTCCTGGCTGTTGTTCAGCAGCTCCGAGATGGGCTCCTAGCTCGGATGAGTAGTTGGTGGCCACTGAAAGAAGTGCATAGCAGTAATAGGGATTTTAGTATCCAGGTCCAGCAGAGAACTACTATGAGCATAACCCTTTCATTTCAGCTTCGTGCCGCTGCACGTGACCACTTCACAGGTAGTCACGCGCAACTGAAGGATGCCGATTCAGGCTTCACCAAAAGCGAAGGTGTCACTTTTTCTACCTTTTTGATAACAAAAGCTTTGGAACCATCTCATGAAGATGAGAAAGCATAAGTCATGCCATAACTGCACCACAGTTAAAAAAACCACCACAAACATTGTTTGCTGTGCTTTGCTTGGCTTCATTGTCTGTTGCATTCACTAGGTTCTATCTAGCAAAGAAACTAGTCCCTTGAACTGTTACTTTTCTTTCATTCCTCTGTAACTTGGTGTAGTAACAAGTTCATTGTGGTGTCATCGCCAGGCTGTTACGAATGCTTCATGAATTCACCAGAGGACACAAGCCGCATCCGGATGTACACTCAACCGACATGTTCTGTCCTCTAAAAGCTAATGTACTGGAACAATAGGAATGTCAAAGGGAGTAACAGAAAGTTAGGTGGGCCAATGAGATGAAAAAGTGCACAGGTAAAACGTGACAGCAGAAAGCACAAGACTGGGTATATTGGCGGATAATGGGAAAGGCCTTTGCCCTGCAGTGGATGTAATCAGGCTGATGATGATGATGAAGAGAGCCTCAATACCAATAATAATAATATGTGGGGTCTAGCATCACAAAACCACAATATGATTATGAGAGACTCCGCAGTGGAGGGCTCCGAAAATTTCGACCACCTGAGGTTTTTCAACGTGCACCCAAATCTGAGCACATGAGCCTAAGGGAGTCTTGAAAGTTTGTTTTAAATTATTTAACACCTGATGTTAAAACTTGCTGAATGTATGTATATTTTTGTGCATATTTCTAATAAAAATTTCTCCAGTACAATGTTCATTTTTTTATATATCATCCATTCCAGTGCGCTTTTTAGGAGCAAGATTATTCCTTAACTCCGTAGTTCTCAGCCATAGACATTTCAGGTACCCCCTTGCGGACCGGTCGAAGTGATGAAAGGCCCTTTCAAGCAAGAGAAGTGGGGGCTCATAAATTAGAGCATCATGCAGGATAAAATCGATACCCTTTATTTCTTCCTGGCAAAGTTTGGTCAAACTAAAGTGCCACGCCAATTCGATCTCAACACCTTGCCATTATTTATGTCACATTCAGCCTGTTTCCAGCGATGTTTGCACTTTAAATATGCAAGTCTAGAAAACGCACGCTCAAGAGCATCTCAAAGAAAACCGTAACAAAAGCTTTGGAACCATCTCATGAAGATGGGAAAGCATAAGTCAGCTCCTCTGCAATAGAAAAGTGTTATGCGGTGAAGCATATAATATTAAACTGAAGTGGCTGTGGTTACAGGACAGCGTGCCTCCTAAAAGACCATTTATTTTGTGCACGTTTTTGAGAAGTGGTTTACACAGACCCCCCCTTCATGGAACCCCTGGGTTTTACACAACATTATTTGAGAACCACAGCCTGAACTTTTTGGTCTTCAAATTACCTAGAACTGTCCCACAAAACACCGCATAAACAGCTAACAGCGAGAAGCTCACCCGACTTCTCAGGGGGGCTGTCCTCCACCAGTGGGGCCGCCGCCTGGCTCTCGCACGACGAGGGCCCTGGCTCCGAGGCCGACCGGCTGTGGCCGCTCTTGGACAGCAGTGACAGCAGCAGCAGGTGCCGGCAACCCTCACGCGGCCGCCGCTTGCCTGAGTACGTACACACGATCGTAGAACAGTTTTCGTCAGTCATGTGTTGCTAAGTATTTCTTTGTCACCTGAAGCATTGTGAAACTTCAACATTAGTGGCCAGCCTGCGTGTGCCCGATTTTGACAGTGACGGCAATCATAAGTGACCTGAATGGTTGAAGCCTTGGTGGCCACTATAGAATGCTAAATGAGTTGAAAATACTTTATTTTTTTTCCTTGCCAGAGACACCCACCACTTGCATGCTTCCCAGTGTTACCCAAGATTACAATGTATACTAGCTTTGCTGAGATGCTTTTCATCAAGCGTTCACGGTTCCTCAGATTACAGTCAAACCCTTCTATAGAGTCAATAAGATACACCAATTGGCCCACTTAAAAATAAGGATAGACAAGAAAATGCAAATGTGGTACCCTGCTTACAAGCGACACGTCGTATAAAAGAATAATAATCCTCTCTCGATTCGTGCCTCTTATAAAAGGGTTCAACAGTATTCCCAGTAGCAAGCACTCACCCTTGGAAGCTCCCTTGCGGTTCCAGCTAGAACGGCACTGGTGCAGTGGTGTCGCCGCTGCCACACCCCGGCGATCCTGCAGTTCGAGCAGGCGCAAGAGCACCGACTCGTCGTCTTCCTCGCGGGATGCAGCGGCCGACGAGCAGCCCTCCCGGCTGGGGTCGGCCATAGATCCGGCTGCAGATCCGCTGCTGCCCGTGGTACCCAGATTCCACCAGTGACAGCAGCTGCCACTGGCACCACTGCTTCCACCGCTGGCACTGTGACGGGAGCCGTGCTGGTGCTCCACATCCCGATCGCCAGACCTGGGAGGAAGATAACTGATGGACTTGATACAAAGGGATGAGAAAAGCAGTCAAGGTTCGCAGATGTGGTGTGTGAATCGAGAAATTGGCAGGCATAATATATGATCAACTCACACAAGACAGTGTAAATGGCATATCTGAGATTAACCTGCGTTCTTCAGTGTTCATAAAATAGGATGACTGTAATCTTGTCTCTACAGTAACTTGTAGCGCTGAGCAAACAGCAAAATTTTGTGTGCAAAGCAAATCCGCATATTGAAGTCTGAGTGAAGCAAATGAATATTTGGCAGGTTGGTTGGTTTGGGGGTTCATCATCATACTAACGTGACTCAAACTACGAGGAACACTGCAGATAATTTCGACCATTTAGTGTTTCTTCACACGCACCAACACAGCACAGTTCATGGGCCTATCGCATTTCACCTCCTGTAAAATGCTATCACAATGCTATCACCATCGGTCGAATCGAACCTATGTCTTTCAGGTCAGCAATCAAGCGCCGTTAGCCACTTGGCCTCCAAGGCAGCATTTCATTCTTTTCAATGGCTCGAGTGTTCTTTTTTTTTTAATAGTGTAGAATCATAATCTACAAATGCTTTTCAACTTGGGGCAGGAAAGGTAAAAGTTCTTAGGGGAGGATGGAAGCTTAAATAGATGAAAAATTTGTCAACATGGGGAGCGGCAAACATTGACGCTTCGACACGCATACCTGTTTTCTTTAAGGCTGCAACTTCTTACTGTTCCCTTTTTGTTTGCCTCACCCCGCCCTCTCTCCTCTCTGTCTTAGATGATCCTTAGAGGCATGCGGGCAGGCATCAAAGCAGGGTTGGTCAACACGGCAGCCACTCACATGGTCTCCTCGTCAATGTCGTTTTCATCCAAAGTGGAGCCAACACCTGACCCTCCCTGAAGCCTGGTGACCCTACCGTCCACCTCACCTTCGCTGGCACACTGCAAGCATATAAAAACATTGTCGGGGAAGAACCAAGAGCTGCTAATTAAAAATCTAACGATGGTTTGCCATTCGATTGCAACGTCTTGAAATTGAGAGCGCACCTGCGAAATCAAACGACTGGCGTCTTTCAGCACACAAAATTTCGAAAGTGATTTCGCATAGCTTCTGTGCAATGTGCATAACAGATGCGGTCTGAGAAGTTGTCGGCAAATTTTTGCCATGGTGCTTTCTTCTGTTAAACCCCTTCACCCTTCTCACATTCATTTCGTTGGCTACGCGAGTCTTTTGGATGCTAAACTTTTTTAAGATTCGGAAATTTGAATGGATGAAAGCACCACGCATTGCATGCTCAACATGTTTTGTGCAACTGTGGTTCTTGAAAAAGGTTGCTTTGGTTAATAGTGCAGCACCGCTTATAGTGCGGATATTTGCAACTCCCACGACATACGTTATAAGCGGTTCATACTGTACAAACACAGCAAACAGAAAGAGCCAAGTAGCCTTTTTCAGAGCAACCTCTAGAGCCCCCCCCCCCCCCCATTCCCTTTCTTGTTACAATCACTCGTTATCACTTCTAACCTTGTTGCCATTCATTGCTCCAGAATCTTGTTTGACCAAACGATCAATAACAAAACAGCCATGAAATGTGAATGATTGTTGTTATATACAAGTCTGGAGCTGACTGATGTGTCAAATGCTTAGGTAGGTTATCGAGCTAATCAAAAACCACTTGTTTACTATAAAAAACATGGTAAAAATATCACTGTAAATCAGTCTCCCTTGAATTACTGAGGTGATCTCTTATCTTCCAAAATTTCATATGCTGCTAAAAGCACTATACTGTCACCTTGGTGTAACAAAAGTAATTTTGGTCACTGTCTTTCAACAGAGCTGTGCAGGATGGGCTTAGTAGGCATAAATGGCATGCCACTGCAAGATTATCGTGCTCGTGTTTTGTGCCTAGTATTAGGACTGTAATGAGGCCCCAAATAAATTTTACACTTGAAAATTCGAGGCACATAAAATACTGTTTTGTGGTAGGCCAAAATTAGGTGATTGGAATCTCAAACAGCCTAAACACAAAGGAAAAGCTTTGGGAAAGTGCCGTTAAGGCAAGTTTGTTAGCCACTACGATCAGCTCTTCAAACAACAAGGGCAGCAGAAATTGTGAATACCAGCAATGAAATGGGAACACAGCCAACAACACATGATTCTGCATAGCAGATGGAGCCCATTTACAGGCTTCAGTGTGTAGCCGTAAACTTGCCTCCAAATTCTGCACTCCAACGGTTGTCCCAAACAAATTCCTGCCCTAAACAACAGCCTTTTTGAAGAAGACAGTAATTCTACTTGGTCAAGTCTGTCGGTCATCGCATAAAGGCAGTTTATTTTTGCTGTCTTTTGCTTTTTATTTTACAAATGCTTCAGTTCCTTTAGGCCTGCCCTCCTCAGGTGAGAAAATGTTGACAGCAGGGTTGAGCACCGCAAGCTCGGCAATACAAAGCTGCATTTGTTTAGTTCACAGATTGCATTTGCCACATCTGCTCACAGGTACTGTTCAACTGAATGCAAGCAACAGTAGCCAAAAAGATGTCTAATGAAGCAAATGCGACTGCCGCGGTACACTTGTGGCAAAGTACATGCGAGAAAGTAGTGCCAATTCTAACACACAAGACCCACCTCGCTGCTCTCGGTGCCGGAAGAGTCGGCATCGCACGAGTCTCCGAGGCCTCGCGATGCCCACCGTTGCCTGCTAGACGCCGATTTGGAACGGCAGGAGACATCTGCAAGCAATTGAAAATAATAATCACCTCAATAGGCTAGTGCGAATGGTGAATTTTAGGTTCGAAGCAAATTCAAAGCGAATAGTTCATTTGGTCAAATAATTCCAAATTAGGTTCGAATAATATACATCACATATTATACAGAAAAATGTGCATATTTGTTATGACTTAACTAACCTGCATGATGTTTTCTTTAATAATTGAAGCAAGGCTTGTACAAATTTCATTTTTTTAGTTCAAAGGAAGTGGAAACAATTTTCAATAGTAGCAGGATTTGACTTTTGGTAGAATGCAAGTGACAACCTGTAAAAGTGTGTGATGTCTTGAAATTTAGTATACTTAGAGCATATAAGCTGGTATAACAAGCTTTTAAAGGGGTACTGACACAAAAACAATGGCCTTCCCTTTTTCTGCTGCAATGTGTTGCTGGGGACCTTTTAGTCATAACACGCCACATCGTTTGTTGCGGCACTGCTACAAATAGTTCTTTACAGGCCCCTAATTATTGACCAGTTTGAATTTTGGTTTCACAGAGCTCCAAAAACGACAAGCCGCCGGGCGCGACTATCTCCACCTAGCGTGTGCAGCTCTCGATCACATCAACACACAGACCTGCGATGCACTTCCGCAGGGTTTGCATAAAGAATTACTTTTCCAATAGGAAACAGGACTGCAGTGTAGCCAAACACAAACAAAACTTTCACCACGTACGCAGCAGCCACACTCACAACCAGCCGCCCAAAAGTATAGACTGCTGGAACGAAACCCGGCAAAAGAAAAATGGCGGCTATGACATCATCATAACTCCAATAAAGTGGAATGCTGGGTCAGTTGGTACAACATAATGTGGAAATATATGTGCGCACAAGGTAGAAGGAAAAAGCACTTCAGAGGAAAGACGCAGGAAAGCCTCTTTCCTGTCAAGTGCTTTTTCCTTCTCCCTTGTGTGCTCGTACATTTCCGCATCATCATAACTTGTTTCATTGACTGCAACATTGTGATGCGAACGAAATAAGGGGGTCCCCAAGGGGTCCCTTTAGATGCTGTCAATACTTTCAAAATTCAAAATTGCTGCCAAATACCTTCCAAGCTGTATTCGCTGTTGATATTTTGCAGATGGTACACGCATACTCACGGGAATCGATCCTGCAGGCTTTCTCGGCTGCAAAATTTTGTGTGAGTACTCCTTTGAAGAGACTGTCTACCGTCTTTTATTGCTCTCCTGTTTTGTGTCACAATAAAAAGCGTACTATGTGAAGTGTCTAACCTTGCAGGGGTTTCTCGGGAAAGTGCGTAAAAATTTAAAAAACAGAAATGTTCTGTCCACGTTCTGTCTCCTTCCATCGGTGGGATGAATGCTCATAACATTGTTCGGTGACGGTGATAGTCGAAAACTGAAACCACATGCGGCTTTTTCAGGCTTCATCAAGTTTTGTAAATTAATAAAACAAACACCTTAGTGGTTGTTTAAGCATGCACACACTTTTTGTTGTTCTCTTGAGTGGCGGCGGACACCGTGCTCGCTTTTCTCTGCAGTTTGCCGGCAGGCAAGAAAACCGACAGGCGCTCGGTGACACTGCCGGCAGGCAGTGTCACCGAGCGCCTATTTGAACGCGTGAGAAAAAAAGGGCAATAATTTGACTCTGGCACAACCTAAAGCTGCCTCAAGCACATAAAATACAACTTCAAGTTATACGTGTTTGTTTTAAAGCAAACTGAAGCTACTTGCGAGGATTTCTTGTCCTACCAATAGGCTGTCAAGATTGATCACATTCGCTGTTGGGTGACGCTAGTGGTAACTTTTCATCCACTTTCAACATCAAGTTAAAATGATAATTCCTTTTTTCTGGCATGAAAGCATGCTCGTCTCCGATGTGATGAACGATCTGCTCATTTGCGCCTCAATCAGAAAAATTTTTCAGAGCAGAAGTGGGTCCTTTTAAATTTACAAAATTGATGCGAGAGTAATATGTCCATCTAACCTTGAAGAGGAGCTTCTTGGCAGTGCCAATTTTCCCAAAATAGGCGTTTTCACTACTCAGCATTTCTTTGTTGCAGTGAGACCACTTTTTACAAAAGATTCCTGCATAAGTGCTTTGATGGCTTAGCACTCCACTACAGCAGTGAAACCACCTTTAAAAAAAGGTTACATACGGACTAATATACATCCATTCATTCATTTTAAGAACTTCGAAATTTTCAATATTGTAAGTTCAAATCGAATCAAATTCGTATACTGTAATATTCATTCAAACATTTAAAGCATTCGAATATTCGCACGAGCCTACACCTCAACGTCAGCAGTGAACCATTTATGATTGTATCACGGTTATGATTCATCTATCACTTTATGTATCCCTGTTCACTCACTCTGTTGTAAGAGAATGAATGGCAGCTAGACGAGACTTATCCGGCACTGAGAAGCCATGTGCATAAAGAACTAGGTGACAGAATAACATTGAAAAGTTTTCTGGCACAAGATGGCACCAGCTGACAAATCATAGGGGTGGTAATACATCACCAGAAGAAGAGTTCCACAATCATAATGTGCTACAAAACTCTGTTCTGAAGATAGTTATAGCACGAGAACAGAACAACGACAAAAAGACAAGAAGAATTGATTGATTGATTTGTGGGGTTTAACGTCCCAAAACCACCATATGATTATGAGAGACGCCGTAGTGGAGGGCTCCGGAAATTTTGACCACCTGGGGTTCTTTAACGTGCACCCAAATCTGAGCACACGGGCCTCGACATTTCCGCCTCCATCGGAAATGCAGCCGCCGCAGCCGGGATTTGAACCCGCGACCTGCGGGTCAGCAGCCGAGTACCTTAGCCACTAGACCACCGCGGCGGGGCAAAAGAAAAAAAAAAAGACAAGAAGAAGATGAGCGCTCGTCTCCTTCTTACCCCTTTGTCGTCGTCCTGTTCTCGCAGTATAAAATATATCGTCATGTCATACAAACTAGCCCAAACTGCTACACTTCCGTTCTGAAACCCAGACACCACTATGAACAAACTAGCAGAGAACAACTAAGTCACATGCTACCCGAAAGAAGTGACAGATAAAATGCCACATCGCAGCAGTCCTAGTTACGGCAGAAATGTATAGTACTTTCAAGAAATGTTGAGGAGTTCTGTGGCCACAATGTGTCACAAATGTAAATACACTGCTTGCTTTATCTATGCAACATCGCTTACGGTCTTGTGCAACACAAAGCACATAAAAATGGTTTTTAAAAGCTTGAGTTCTCACCCAGAGATGGCTCTATCGTTGGCAGGCCTCCACATTTCTGGCCAATGATTGTCGGGGTGCTCACACCCCCTGTAATGTTGTTTGCGCTGCATGGCGCACGTGTCTTGCCCGAAAGCTGCATTTCGAGTTACAACCGCCGGGTGACAGAGGGCGCTGTGTTCGCGTTGAGCACTACTATCATCATGGTTAGCGTCAGCAGCGACCCCTGGCGGAAAGCAAGCCTTGGTGGCGGGCAAGAGTTGAGCGAGCCTCTTCTGCGCGTGGCGGTTGCCGCGAACGGTTGCCTCTAGCGTGGGTCCTCGGCGCATGGTACCGCGTCCTGCGCGCCAGGGGGCTCACGTGTTAAGTCAAGCGTTGGCGATGCCGCCTTGGGTATGTTATTGTGTGTTTATCATGTTATTGTGTCTGTAATGTTTTGGAGTATTCTGTTAGGTTGTTTAGCGTTGATAAAGATAGATGTATCGATTCGGCGGATGATATCGTTGTTGTAAGTTAGTTAAATAAATATATGTGTTGTTTGGTTTGTACCGACCGTGACTGCTGTGTCCGTTCACTCTAAGAGTGTGGCGTGGTGCTCGCTCGCCAAGTCGAGACCCCACATGGTGTGGCCAAATATTAATACACATACCTATGGAGAGTTATGCAACTTGCACAATTGGAAAGGTCCAACTGAAAGAGACCTTTATCTTGGTGTAGACATACGCTAGGGCGATGATGTGTGATGATGATGAACACCCGTGTCTGCACTGTTTTGACAATACCACACCGTAGTTGGCCGTAGTTCAAGGGGTCCCAAGCGTACACTGCGACACAGGAGAATGTGAAATTGGTTTCACAAATACCAATAACCAGAACAGTGTTTACATCTGCAAGTGTTTTCTATGCCCGTGTCATCGTGAAGTGCTGGTGCTGCTTTGAACATAGGCAGCACGTGTAAACTCATATTGGCCACGTACTTTACGTATCAACTAGGTTATTAACCTTTCTGTGGACCGGACTGCAAGAGCTCTGCAGTGAGCGTGTCCACAGATGCAGCCAGGTTGGCGGCAATCTGCTGCTCCAGGGTGCCACTGCTGCTGCTGGCAGCCGTGGCCCCGAGGGAGGCACTCTGCTGACGCTGAGGGCTCGCAGATACGAGATCCGATTGGGGCGAGTCTGACTCCACAGTCCGGCTTGGACCGGCACACTCGGCCGTGCTGCTTGGCTGTTCTGCTCGTGGGCAACAAGGGATACATGATAAATATCACTATAACACTAGCGGTGCTCAGCACATCCATTTTTTTGTTCTTTTTCCCAGAAACTAGGCCTCATAAATCTCAGCATCGATAGCTGAACAAAATGAAGATTTGGCGCTGACACAACCCTAAAAGTGAGCAACTAGGGCACACTGAAGTTCCACAAATAGCACTAGCACTGTTGTCACACCATGCGTCACTTTGGGCAAAAAAGTCAGTTGGAAAACGATGTCGGATAACAACCACTTTCAAAGATAGTCCCTCTCATAAGATTTAGGACCATTAGAACTGAACGTATTGCCCCCTGTGAACAGTGCTATTTTCGGCATAGTTCTAGCAACACATCCAGCAGTGGATGCCAAAATTTCTTGACCTACAAGACCTGGCTAAGGCAAAGTCTGTACAAGCGCTAAACCTAGTCTCTACTTGGCTGATGGTTCTGCAATACCGACAACTGCTGATGGCATTTCACTTGCCGAAAAATTCCTCTCAGCACAGTTCATAAAAGAAAACATTCATTTATTTTTGAAGCGTGTAAATTATACAGTGAATAACAATATTCCTTGAAACAAAATAAAAGAACCTAAGCGCAATCTTTTTCAGCAATTTATTGTGCATAGGCAACATCAGCCAGGACATTGAAAGTTAGGTTCACCCGTTGCCCATCTGTGGCATGGTGTGAAGAATGTGCAGAAAGTTCTTGTCATTCCTGAAACAGAGGTGCGCATCGTATTTCATCTGTTACACAGGCTTCATAATACGACGGCGGCCAGAAATGCAGGCATATGCCAGAAATACAAGAGAATCTCAATATGAATTTGAGGGGAGCACACAGAATATTATATTGTTACGGAAATCAAGTAAAGGAAAAAAAGAACACAATCAGCTGAGAGGTGGGTGAGTGTCCCAATCAGCGTAGTTAAGTAGCCGATGAGAGCGGTGAACACTTGAGCCTGCTCAGGGCCCCATGAGAATGTGGTATCCTTCTTCAGCAAATCTGTGAGTGGCCTGGCAACCTCGGCAAAGTTTTTCACAAAACGACGAAAGTAGGAACATAAGCCGATGAAGCTCCGGACGTCGGATGTACAACGAAGCACCGGAAAGCTACGGATTGCGCCGATCTTTTCGGGATCGGGTTGGATGCCATCGGCGTTTACAAGATGGACCAGAACGGTAATCTGACAGCAGCCAAATTGACATTTCTTGGAGTTGAGTTGTAGCCCAGCTGTTCTGAAGACTGCAAGAATTGCAGAAAGATGGGTCTGGTGGCTATCGAAAGTAGATGAAAAGACTATCACATCATCTAGGTAACAAAGATAAGTAGACCACTTATAACCATGCAGGAGAGAGTCCATCATTCGTTCGAAATGTGGCAGGGGCATTACATAGTACAAAAGCATGACCTTAAACTGGTATACAGTAAAAGCTCATTAATTCGAACCGCAAGGGGAAGCCGCCTCAGTTCGAATTAACGAAAGTTCGAACTAACGAAAGTGCAGAACAACAATAGTACACTGCCAGTAGGGCATAACAATTATTTTTTGAAAAAATCTGTGATCGCGGTCTGCCTTCTTTCCTTGAAGGCGACAGCCAGCACTTTTTGCTCTAACGAGCGAATTTGGTGGAAGGCCTCTTGTCCGCCTTCTTCGAAACTTAAGACGGGCGGCATTCAATCTGGCCATGACTTCCGGAGCAGAGGGCCGCACTGGTGCTTTGTCCTCCTCCTCATCGTCACTGGCAGCGACAGGTTCTGCACTTCTCACCATCGCACTTGAGTCCACATCGACATAGTCCGCAAAGCAGACGTCTTCCAAAACGTCCACCATGGGGGCGGTGACGCCGTGTTCGAGCACTGGTGGCTCGTCAGCTTGCAGAGCTTCGGTGCTGAAGCCACAGTGGCGAATGCAATTTGCTATCTTAAGTGCTGTCACTTGCTCCCAAGCACGCACAAGCATGTGTTGTGCACTCAGGAGCGTCACTTGGTAGTTATTGCACAAAATAATTCGTTCCAACATATGACGCCGATAAAATAATTTTAAATTTCCAATTATACCCTGGTCCGTGGGCTGCAGTACCGCTGTCATGTTTGCTGGAAGGAAGGTAAGCTCAATGGCCTTCATCTCAACGTTGACTTTATGAGCCGAACAGTAGTCCACAAGAAGCAGGACTTTGCGGCCACAGCATTCAAACTTCTTGTCAAGCTTCCCCAGCCACTGCGCAAACAATCCCCTGTCATCTAGGCCTTTTTGTTGTCCGCGTAGTCTGATGGGAGGGACCGGATGTTCTTGAAGCAACGAGGACTTCTCGATTTGCCTACCACAAACATAGGCAACTTCTCGGTCCCGGTCATGTTCGCAGCAACCATTACAGTTATCCGTTCTTTACTTTTTCTTCCCTCCCATGCACTTGTCGCCTTTATTTGTGATAGTTTTGGCGGGCAGCAATTTGAAAAATAAGGCAGTTTCATCCGCATTATATATGTCCTGCAGAGAATACTTCTCCATGTAGCCTTGAAGCACTTTCGAGCGCCAACCATCACACGTTTCCATGTTGACGGCGTTCATTTCACCCGACGCAGCACGAAAAACGAGGTCGTAGCGTTCGCGAAAACGGTGCAACCACCCATCTGAAGCAGCGAAGTTGTTGTAGTCTATCTGCAGGGCGAAGTCCGCTGCCTTTGCCAGTATGACTGGGCCACTCAGTGGTATGTCCTGCGAATGCATTTTTCTTTATCCAAATGAGAAGCGCTTTCTCGAGGTCAGGATACTTTGCGGGCTGCAACCTCCTCCTTTTGCTCGCAACTTCTGCCTCTAAGGCGTCCTCAATAGTCCTCCTATTTTTTTATATAAGTATATAGCATCGTTTTCGGTATCCCATGCTTTTTCGCGATATCTTGCTTAGGCAAGAGTCCGGTGTCCACTTGCCGCAGCTTTCTCCTGAAGTGTTTTGGCACGGTATTTGCCGCGGGCACACGCCATCAAGTCGGAGCAGCAGAATCGCGACAGACGGAAAGCTACTACCGGCGCTACCGCAACAAACGTTAGCCGAGGCCTAACACCAACACAAAGAATCACGACAGTCGGAAGCTACTCCCAGCACCAACAATTGAGGTGTACGACGCACGCCTGAGACAGAGACTGCAGAGAAGGCTGGGTGAAGCTACGATGCACCCGATTTGCTGTGTACTGGTCATGCCATCTGTCGTCTAACAGCGACAACTATGCAGTATTTTCAAAAGCTCTGAGATTGGCGCTTAAAAACAAAAAATCTTGGAGGTTATGTAGGACGGAGAGCAGGCAGCCACCGAGAAAGAGAGAGATTGTGGGAGGAGGGGGGTGAAGAGTAAGTGGCGCTATTTTCTGCATTCCGGCCTCCCTGCCAGTTTCCCCGTTTTTCTATCCGCTCCTTGTCCCAGCCGCCTCATAACTCGGCAGCCGCCCTATCAAGTGACGAGCCAAGCCGCCGGCGCAGTGACGCATTGTTCGAATTATCCGCGGCGGAACCTACTCGCGCTCGAATTATTGGGCTTTTTTATTCATAGGCTTGTATGGAGCTTGGCCGGACCATAACCTACAGTTTGAATTATCCATAAATTCAAATTATAGAAGTTCGAATTAACGAGCTTTCACTGTAAACCATCCGGTGTAACGAAGACCGTCTTCTCGTGGTCCATCTCATCGACAGAAATCTGCCAGTAGCTGTACCGAAGAACAATAGACGAAAAGTATGTAGCGCCGTGCAGGCAGTCTAACGCATGATCGATGCGTGGTAGCGTGTATACGTTCTTTTGCGTGATCTTGTTGAGATGGCGATAGTCAACGCAGAAGCACCAGGTACTGTCATTTTTCTTCACAAGGTCGACAGGGGAGGTGCAAGGACTACTTGATGGTTCTATGACACCCTTGACATTTTGTCAACTTCCACTTTCGCGAACGCTACGACCTCGTTTTCAGTGCTGTGTCGTGCGCTCAGTATGGGAGACACGATAGGGGCGTCGGCGTATAGGACTGGCGTCACCAGTGTTTATACGGTGCTGAACGGCTGATGTTTGCCATAGAGGTCTGTCGTCGAAATAAAAAATGTCGGTATATGAGGCGAGAAGGTGATGGATGTCGTTGGCTTGCGCAAGATTGAGGTCGGGTGCAATCATCTTCGAGAAACGATTCAGCAGAGAACAGGTGCTGTTAGCTACAGAAGACTAAAGTAAATCAATCTCGGTGGTGAGAGCCGCTATTTCGAATTCGTCAGCATTAGATACGCTGGCCAAGAACATGCCACGGGGAAGCACTTGAGGGCACAAGCTGAAATTGAGAAGCGGGAGCGAGGTTCAGTTGTCAGTGACAGTCACAAGTGTATGGGAAAAGGCGATGTTGCGGCTCAAAAGGGTCGGCGAGGGAAGGAGGACATATTGATCATCGTGAAGCTGTGGCTGTGAGGTCAAAACGACGTAGGTGGCTGCCTAAGGTGACAGTCGCACATCCTGAAGAGAGCATAGGCGTGGTGGGGCAGTTTGGGGTTCAGCGACTATCTGAGGTAGCTCTAGCTGAAGGACGCACGCGATAGCACAATCGATAAGAGCAGAATGATTCGACAAGAAGTCAAGGCCTAGGATGTCGTAAGCGCAGTGGTCAATCACGGGTAAAATGACAGAAGTAGTGTGGTCCTTTATACTTAAGAGGGCAGTGCACATACTGAGAACCATCGGTGTGCCGCCATCGGCCACACAGAGCATTTGTGCAGCCGCTGGTGTCAGAACTTTCTACGTGTGCGTAGGCTTGAACTCATGACCTAAATGCTTGCACCGGTGTCTACAAGTGCTTGTACAGGTACGCCGTCTACTTAAACATCTATTTACACTTCGTCTGGTGGGAACGAAGAGAGAATTTGCTGCAGAAGTTGTCAGTGCAGCACCACCTCCCGGGGCTGCATTTTTCAGTTTTCCGAGACGATGCGGCCAGAAGCCACGGGGGGCGAGAAGCGCCATGGCTGCGGCAAACGGGACGATGGGCGACGTATTTGCGGGGAACGAGACTGGTGCCCACGTGGAGAAGGCGAGCGGCTGCGCCCAGTGTTCCGAGATTGATCAACGGCATTGGACTCTTCGGCAGGTGAAAAGGTGCGGGCGGTACTGTCGACATGGGCCATATGAGTCGTTGCACGAGGTGCCGAGGACCATGTGTTGGGGCAGTAACGAGCAATATGTCCGACGCGGAGGCAGTTGAAACATATAGGGTGGTCATCTGCAGTTCGCCACTCAGCCGGGTTGCGGGTACGTGGAGAAAACGGTCGGTCGGAGGAGGGCACCGCAAAAGGGCGCAGAGGGCACTCTGGGCGCCGTGACATGGCACACGGAATGCACTCCTATGCTTTCAAGCTCCTGGCGCAAGATGGCTTGAACAAGAGGAACAGTAACAGGAGTGGTATCTGTACTGCGTGAATAGAACGCCGAGGGCGCATTTGCTTCCAATTTATGACGAACAATGCGTGTCAGGTCTCCAGGCGGCAAAAGACGTTGTGGTGCGGACTGGTCCTCGCAAGTCTATGTTGCAGCGATATTTGGAAGTCGGGCGAATGTTTGCAGAATGCGGCGACTTTTGACTTGCTCAAACTGACGACACTCTTTGATGATTGCATCCACGGTGGAACAGCCCTTGCACATCAGGAGATTGAACGCTTCGTCGGCAATCCCTTTCAAGACATGCCCGACCTTGTAACCTTCTGTCATGTCACTTTCGGCGTTTCTGCAGAGGGCCAGCATTTCCTGAATGTATGCAAGGTATGATTCCGTGGGGGATTGGGCACGGCAGGCCAATTCCTTTTTGGTGGCGATCTTACGACTGGCGGTTTTGCCAAACACCTCTCGCATCTTTTTCTTGCATTGGTCCCAGCTTGTGAGTTCTTCTTCGTTGTTTTTATACCATACCTTGGCCGTGCCTCTCAAGTAAAACAGCACATTAGCCAACTGAAGTGTGGGATCCCATCTGTTCAGCACACTCACTCGTTCGAACATGGCCAACCAATCGTCAACGTCAACGCCATCGGTCCCCGCAGAATGTACCGGGATCCTTAAGTGGCATGAAAACGTATGGTTGCGACGCCATGTTCGTCGCTGATGCTGACACGGAGGGCTCAGCATTGGCCATGGCTGGAAAGCCGATGCGACATCCACTGCGGAGCTTCGTTGCCTAATGGTTGCCCAGCACCTCGACCAATATGTTACAGGGTCGGTGACTTCTGTACAAAATGCATTTAGAGAGGGAAAACCACAGGCAAGAGTCACAATGGCTGATTGGCACACTTGCGGGCCTCTCAGCCGATTGTGTTCTTCCTCTTCCTTTACTTCACTTTCGTAACAATATCATCCCAAATTCATACGAACCAAAAACAAGTTACAGCTGATCATGAAGATGAACAAGAACTTTATCGGGGTCAACTCCTTCTTGCTGAAAAAAGTCCATGGTGTTCTTTTGAACTTTCATGCCTTCATTTTCACTCAATAAAGTGCCGTGGTTTGCTCGCTCATGCTGCTGGCGCTTACAGGCGTATTCACACTTGACATCAAAGGAAGCGTAAGTGGGCAAACTCATTGGAAATTCACTTGCTTCACCGCTTGAAGGGGCTCTGAAACACTTTTTCTAGTAACCATGGAATAAATTCACTGGAAGAGCATATTGCCTCACGAATTCAACACCACAAAAATTTCAAGAATCCGTCCAGTGCGAGTGGAGTTACAAAGATTTGTCACATGCTGCGATTGCATTCTCTCTCATGCCGACGAAAGTGCTGAAAGCTAAGCAGAAAGGGAGGGCAGGGGCAAAGAAAACATGGCACCCACGCCTCGAGACCTGGAGCACTTTTTCTCATTTTTTTTTATTCTAATGTGCGGCTTTTTCAGTGTGATCGCGCGCGAACGTGTGGACAAGTCGCGGCCTCCTGCAGCAATCTCTGTAATGACTCGGCGAGCCCGCAGTGTTCAAATCGGCTAATGCCTGATAGATGGGCTTTCTAGGAGTGATTTTTGAGCGTCTTCTGTCATTTGTCGGGAGAAGGAAAAGCAATGTTTAGCTGGCTTCAATAATTTATTGCGAATTCCAGGCCGTGCTCTGTGCCATAATATTTGGCTCACGTGTTGTCGGGAGCCTTTACCCCCAATCGGCAGTGTTTTCTGAACATGCTCAAAAACTGGTGCAGGGCCCCTTTAAACAGCCGGAAAACCGCGCCGCGAAGTCTACGTGAAAAAAAAAAATCAGTCTTGAAGAATTCACACTAGAGGATTCAAGCGAAAACATCAGAGTGGCCAGAAAACCACGTCCGTGCTCGTCGAAAATGTTCACATTCGTACATGCTCCTGCCGCCGCCACCACCATGGCCGCTTGCGAATTCATTCCACTTTGCCTGTTACCTCAGCATTAAAATTTGTACCGAGTTCTAGTTATGCATGCAAAGCACTGAGAAGAAACAGTCTACACCTTTACAAACATTGCTTCGGAACATATGCCAGCAGAAATGACAAGAGCGGATGCACTGGCAGCAGCGGCGACCATGTATTCAGCTGGCGGTGCAAAAGCAAGACACGTTGGGGCATGCCGACTCACTGCTACTGCACCTCCTTCTACTTCCGGAGTTGTCAGCAATCGTAATCCAAGCCAGGCTCTCGACGAACGCGTCGTTGTCAAGACCGTTAGCTTTGATGTGCTGCATGGGTAGTTCCTGATAGTGCAGATGCAATCCACCGCAGACGCTTTTGCCTCCATGTTAAATTTGTGCCTGGTTGTTTACATCACATGGTTTGAGAGCTAGAGCAGCTGGTGTAGCCAAAGACTCGAAGCAATAAGGTGATCTGCTATCACGTGGCGGGAAACTTGGTCTCGGACCGATTTATTCGTGTCGGCCTCGCGGCACGGTTTTTCGGCCACTTAAGCGAGGAAAATTCCAACAAGTTTTGCCGCTCAGTCCCTTTGAAGCCTAGTCGGAACGGGCCTCCCTCCCACACACGAACAGCGTTGCTCCGCTTGCGTGCGGCGGTCAATCACACGTTCGTATCACCTGCGGTGGCTGGGGAAACTGTTCGTATAACACTGAATCACAGCACATTTTATTAATGTGGTCCATCCGAAACGACCTTAAAATTTGTATTATTGAAGAATTCGCATAAACCGTAATCGTATCATCGAGATCCTGCTGTACTTCATTGATCTTTCTCTAACATTTCCCTCAATAGAAACTCAGTTGCACGATCAAATTCTCATTTCTCATTCTCACTTCTTGCTTTATTCTAGAAAAACAATGCATACTACCTGATAAAAGATTTCTACATGAAATTGAAGCTCAACAAGAACACAATGCTTTCCTCTAGTGCTGGCAGTATGCAAAAGCCCATCCATAAAGGCTTAAATTAAGTGACCATGCTGAGTAACACCTGTGTCACACGGGCGCGCAAAAAGTCTTTTAAGTAAGCGGTCTTTTACGAAGTTGAAAGACTTTTAACAAAGAGGTGTTGCGGCACAAACACACGGCATCGACGATCTCCTTTTAGTGTTTTCGTTTGAAGACGCTAGCAAAAGCATGGCGCTAGCAGTTAAAAGAGAAGCAATGAAAATTAAACGATGTATCACGATGTACAAATTAAAGACTTGTTGCACTGCTCGTTTCTTCAAATAAATTTAAGAATAAGAGATGAAGAAACACCAATGTGAAAGTTTATTGCACTAGTTAAGGAAGCATTCCCATAACTAGCGACGTGCACAAGTCCGTCTGGCACCACTGGGCTTTTATTTACCGTATTTGTTTTTCGCTGCTCTCGACTGCTCTCGACACGTTATGGGCGACCGTACGGAAGAAAAAGCGAGGATCGCAAGCCTCACGGCCTGCCTTTTCGCTCTGGAAAGCGCTGCAAAAGCCGCCAAGGAGATAATCAAGCAGCAACTGCTGTTTAGCAATTCCTTGCTGTGCGCACTGGAGCTGTCGGAGAAGGCCTGCGATCGATCGATCTGGGCTTTCAGACGAAACGAGAGGTGGTTCGAGGGAACTGTACCTCACCTCGGTGAGCAGAACTTAAAGCAATCTTTTCGAGTGTACCCGTCCACCTTTCGTTTCATTGTGGAGAGCTTGCGCAGTGAGCTCGAAAGACAGTGGACCAGCACGCGTGAAACCATCACTCCTGAGAAGCGAGTCGGCACTGCCCTATACGAGCTTGACCACTTGAATGACGAGCAAACACACGACTGCCACGCTTTTCTCGCTTGTGCAAAATAGCGCTGCGGGAGACAGAGCGTCATCACGTGATATTGCCGACGCGTTGTAGCTGCTTACGAGTGTAGAAAAGGAAATAACCATTAAAAGAGTTCATTACACCTTCTGCAGGATATAAAATTTGTTTTTACAAAGAGTTTTGGTGACAGGAAAGTAAGCATTCGCTCTTTTTTTCTCACCACTCAAAAATTGCTGGCCTCCACTGGTTTCGAGGCTACTCATTCGGAGCCGTAAAAGAGATTGACGAACTCCGTTTACGAAAAACACCGCTTCTGAAAAGGAGTTCGCTCTGTGCCGTGTGCCTGCTGTCAGGAACTCCTTTTCGGAAAAAGACCGCTTACTTAAAAAACTTTTAAGTGCCCGTGTGACAGGGGTATAAGGTGGCTATGGCGTTTTCATAAAACAGCTGTACCTCATGACACATCCGCCATATGAATCAGAGCTGCAGATACGAACAGATGTGACGTTAACCTCCAAAAGCACACTTTTCCATTTCAGACTTTAAAAGATGCGACACAAGAAATTGTAGTCAATGTTTCAAACACATGAGATTGCCAATTAATATTCATTGCAATGACATTTCTTTCCCTTTGCATTATCAAAAAAAGGGAACCAGTCTTAGAAATGCTAAGCATGTAAATAGCTCACCGGCGGCATTCTCGGAGGTGTAGGAGCTCGCCTCGTTCTTTGCTATTTCAGCAGTCAGCCTCTGAAGGAAATGACCAAAAAGAATTTTTTTAGAAAAACTCTAAAATCAAGCTAATTTGTGTCAGGTGTGGAAAAGGTCAAGAGGACGAAATGCGCCCGTCAAACAAAAACTATGACACACCAAATCACACAAGTGAAGTTTCTAGTTTTGTTGATCCATGAATTAATTTCAGCGAAGCTGTTATCTAGTCGGTCAAAATGTTTCACTTCCTACGATGCGAGTGCCTCGCTGTCTCCAGTTTAAGTCCGAACGCCAAAGAAAGTGGCTTACCACTTGGTGCAAGGAAAAGTAAGAAAGGTGGGGCCCACTTAATATTGAAATGATAAGGTACGCTGCTGCCATCTCAACTGTGTTAGTGGGCTTCTCTAACTCGGAATGGAGGCACCTGCCACAGTTGGCTGCACATAAACCGAATTCTTCGAGCAGATGATCACAATTGTAAAGTGCCACTTCTGAGGGCTAGAATGGAGAGAGTGTTACTGTTCATTCTGACAGTGTAGCAGGAACACTACCTGCACTGCAGTTCTCAGTTTAACTACAGTATACTTGTTAACATCAAAACAGGCAACCATCACAAACACAACATAAAATTGAATTTTGTCATTTTGTGTACACGAAATGATTACCAGACATGTCTGAAAGGGGACTCTTTACTAATTTCCACTACCTGGGATTCTTAATGTGCACCTGAATTTGAGCACGTGGGTGCTTTTCCATTTCAACCTTATTGAAACGCAGCTACTGTGGCCAGAATTCAAACATGCGTTTTCGAGCTAAGCAGCAAAACACATTAGGCACTAAGCTACCAAGGCAGGACATGACATGAACATGGCCAATCAGCTGACAACATAGCATAAAAATGTAAGGAGATTTTAACAACGCAAGGGCATAGCTGTGCAGCACTCAGTGCTTCTGCAGGTTCAGTGCGTGTCCGCGTTGATGCACTGCATTGCGCAAGGCAAGTGCAGACACGGCCCTGAGGTGTGCAAGGCCCAAACCCAAAGTGGTTCGAACTACGAGACCACCACAACTCAAACCAAGCTTGATGACAGAAAACAGCAGAACGACAGTTTTTTCGCACACAAGTTGGGACAAGGCATGAAGGAGAACAGAAATGTGAGGTGCCACACACACACACCTCCTTGAGCTGTTGCACCTGCTGCATCAGCTGGGCCTGTTGCGCCTGCAGCTGTGCCAGGTACCACTGCTGGTCCCGACACTTGTGGAAGAAGGTGGGTGGCCGCACCTATGCATTTGCAAGAAGGACATGGCGAAGATAGACTTGCACAACATCTATGCGATTGGTGCTAGCGTTTCCATAACTGACACCAAACGAGGGGCTAAAAATCAAATCAAGACATAAACAGTTTAGTACAAAGTATAATTTAAGCTGAATAGTGCAGGTGTGCTGCAGCTGCAGCAATGCTGAAGAGACTGCCTGATTACATGCTTGTCAAGATAGTGCATCACTTAGCAAACAACACTTACAGCAAAGAGAGAGATTGCTACGTAAGGGCTACAAAACAAGCTTGCACTCTAACAATGTCAATCAATTTCCTTTGCAATAGCTTAGCTCGAGTACTTTGTGGTGCAAAAGAAAAAGATACTGTAAGACCAGCTGGTTTCTAATGACTCTAAAGGAGTAGTGACACTATGTAGCGTTCTTTACAAAAATTTGGCGACGGAATACTGATGTGAAAGCACGTAAACTTAAAAAAAAATAATGGTCAGCACAGTAAAACTTCACTGATGTGTTGATAGTGACATAGAGAAAAGGCACACACCTCGAAGCGCAGTAGAAGGGTGTCTCCACTGAGGTATCCCTCGGAGGCGAGGAGGTCGAGGCGGAAGAATCTGTTGTAGCCCCAGCACTCGCCAACCTCAAAGTCCGAGGCAAACTCGCGCACTATGTTCTTGCTCGGATCACCTCCCTGGTGGCTCATCTCCACACGGTACTCGTACCTATGCACAGTGATGCACGAGAATACTCAAACCTCAAACACAGATATAACGAAATATTAGTTATAACGAAGTAAATTAAAAATAGTCTGGCAATGAAAAGTGTTGGGAATATCCTTTATAATGAATTTTTGGATATAACAACTTACTTTATTATAATACACCTGTTAGTTCTCATTAATACTGTGCCTAAAAAAACAAACTTTTAATGTTACACTTTCCTACTTTGTTATTATGAGTTATGAGTGCACTATGTTTCATTTGTGTTGACATGCTATGGCTGTAATAATAATTTAGAGTTTAATGTTTCAAGAATCCCACTCCAGGTTGCCTAATAGGTAAATTAATATTCATTTCTGAGGTGCCAAATCATGATATTCTCACGTGCCAAATCATGATATGATCATCAGGGATTCCAGAGTGTGGGACTTTGTATAGTTTGCAACAATTTGTAGTTCTTTCACGTGAACTCGAATATATGTAGATGGGCACTTCTGCATTTTGCTTCCATCCAAGTCCTGCTGCCAAGGTTGGGAATGTAAGCTGCGTCCTTGAGCTCGGCAGCATGACACTTTACCTGTCAAGCTGCCATGGCCAATAGGCATAACTAAGTATGATATTCTTTTGCCTTCTTAGGCAGTTATGCACAGGTACCAAGCTCTAGCCTAGTTACAATAATTGCTCACAGAAATAAAGTGGTTTCCAAGAACTGAGGAGACCCTAAGCAAAAAGTAAGCTGACCTATGTTCTGGGCTGATTGCATCGCTGCTGCTCTCAGTCAAAGATTCCATAGCAAGGCAACATCCTCAGACACCCTGCTGCTTGTTAAATGGCAAAAGTCAGCCACAAACACAAAACAATGTCAGCATCTGCACTCTTTCTAAGTGCACATGCACACACCACCAGATACAACACAAGCACGTACTTTGAAAGATAGCAGCTATTGGCATTCTGGTGCGTTTGTGGCTGATTTTATCGATTTAATGAGCAGCAGGAACTTAGAGAATGCTGCCTTTTTGGCAGACTTTGAATCAAACAGCATCGATAATGCAAACCAGCCCAGAACACCCACCAGCATCGCTTTCTGCTTCAGGTCATCTTGGTTTTCGTTTCGGCACCAGCCCAACAAGATGAAAACTTATGAAAACTGCAAAAAATGCAAATGCGACTCGGAAACAAAGCAGAAAACAAGGGCTTGCTGGAAGAAATGCGACATTGAGCAATGCCTTAAACGACCGAACTGCTTTGCAGCATCACACACCCAGTTTTAGCACTTACAGTAAGATTTTTCTCAGGCAAATCCTGTTCAATGAAAGTTTGAATATCTTCAGAGATGACATCTATTAGCCGGCAGTTGTATTGCGTATCTCATAATCTCTACTAAAATTTTTTCTTGTAATGTAGAAGCGAGTTTTTACAAACTCTGTTTAATTTTGCCGTGCAGTCTAGAAATTGTCAATTTAATTACTCACATAAATCTTGCAAATGAAACTTGTGTGCTTTATTACTTAGTTTATTTTGCTGTTCGTCTATGTATCAAATAAAATGTTAGGTGCAGTAGTTCCTTCAGCAAAAAAATGGCCTATAACTTACAAAAAACACCCATTTCTCTCACAGTATGGAAGGAGCCAACAACAAGAAAACCTATTCAGCCACTCTCGTATCGCTGCTTTTCCCAAACGTTAGCTTCTCCAACTCATCAATGAGCTATTCTCGAGAAGACAGACCACTTACTTGGATGTCTCTGGCAGACCAGCTGTAAGTTCCAGAAAGACAGACAGGTAGTTTCCCCTTACAACTCCATTTCCATCCTGCAGCACCAAATGTAAAACTATGCAAAATGATGCCTAATACCCATTCCCGAGAAACAAATGGAGAAGCCAAGTCCCCAGACTTGCAATGAAGGCACTGCCAAAGTAAGTTACCTAAACATTTCTCTCTACTTTGTACAGTGTTTACTCGCATAATCCTCGCACATTTTTTGCGTAAACACCAATGAAATGCTGGAGGGGGTGCCAGAATTACGCGATAAAATTTTTTCCCGAAAACGTACAGAGCGAAAGACAAAGTGAAGTGGCCACAAATTGGGGTTCTCACGCCAGGAACTAGCTGCAAGCTTTGAAAAGTACTCATTAAGACTTACCTTAACAATACAACCACAAGCTCAACACAAGGCAAGATTTATTTGAGACACAAAAGTCGTATTTTTGTTGGGAATGTGGGGGGTGCGAGAATTATGCGAGTGAATACGAGATGTGCTACACACAAAGCCTTTAAACGCTCCCTGCACAACAAAAATATTTAGATAAGGAATTCAGAATAAAAGTCAGCGCTGAGTTACATGGCAGTAGGTACGACAATGTGCAGGCCCATATTACGCCCTCCAGGTTCAGATGGATGGGCTGGATTGACAAGGTAAGTACACACACACAAAGTGCACTTAAAAAAGCATGCGTTTTATTCTGGCTAGGTATCCCTCACCAATCTGGCAAGGCTGAGAACATGCATAACTTCAGAGGCACACAAAGAATGTTCATTGTCATTGCTGCTGAATATAACACCTATTTTACTCAACCCCCTCCCCTGGTTCAGAACTGCTGTTCACAGTTAAACGAACAAAAGATACTACCGAAATGAATTTCACAGACACAGTAAAGTAGAGAGATGTGCAAGTTGGAAACGGTGCACTTAGAAAAAAATCACACTCAATTTTTTACATGTCTTGGATGCAATACAGAAGCACCTACCGGGTACACCTTGAGCCTCCACGTGAGCCCTGAGGTGGTGAGGGGCCGGCTGTAGACTGGGTCGGCACGCTGCTGCAGCACTGAAAAGTTGCGCAACAGGAAGGCGCTCGACTCGTACGGGGGTACCATCTCCGAGGGGAACTCCTGGCCACCCCCGGGCAGCAGCAGCAGAGGGGGAGAACAGGGGGGCTGCCGCTGCAGCAGCTCCCCCAGCCGACGCACTATCTCGGGCGAGCGGGCAATGAGCTCTGAACGCGAGCACGAGCTAAGCTGCGCTTCTGCAGCCTGCAGCAGCTGCTCCAGCTGTTCAGTCTCCTGGGTGAGGGCATTCTTCTGAGCTGCAAAGAAAGAACAGAGTGAGGCACAGGTGCTGGTGCAGCTTCAGAGTGCAGGCAACATGTGGCAGTACTCTGAGGTCCCCTCTCACTGATAGACCACCAACAGTTTCTGCTACCACACTTGCCCATTGCTGCTACAGTCTGTAACAGTATGTCATGGTATATCAGACAGCTCTTTAGCCAAACATTATCGCGCAACATGCAGCCTTGAATTCACAATCAATTCCCAATGATAAATATAGCGCGAGAACAGGACGAGGACACAAGACAAGAAGGACATGAAGGACATAGCGCTCGTGTCCTTGTCTCTGTGTCGTCGTTCTGTTCTCGCGCAATAACTATCGTCATGTCATACCAACTAGTCCAAGCTGCCACGATTCCCAATGTCAGCTGGAAATCTTTCTCTTTCTACAAATGGCACTGTATGTGTGCATCAAATCAGGTGGCATTGTGCTTCAACAAGATCCTTTGTCTTAGACATCATCTCCTATGATCTCATCTCACTCTACCCCAACAGAGAGGTTACTCACCGACAAGCGAGAGCAGGCGCCCCTTCAGCTGGGCGTCCAGGCGTGCAATCATGTGCTCGACGGCATTGCGTATCTCGTGGACACGCAGGTCCTTGGCCTGTCGCACGGCCTCGACCGAGCGCTCCACCTGTGCCACCAACCCCAACAGGTGGACGAGGCGGCGGCGCAGGGCCCCCACCTGCTCCCGCACGGCTGCCACCTGCTGAGCGTGTACCTCCTCCAGGGGCTTGAACACATGGCCGCAGTGCTAAAACAGAGAGCCAGAAGAGCCGCTCTAGCACACCGAAAGTTCGAAGGCAGTCTTTGCAACAAGAGGAAGGCCAGCTCTGGGCAGAATGTGTCACTGAACAGCTTCCCAGCAATAATCCGTTGAGAGCAGGAGCGCAGCACCAGTGCAAAGCTTCTGCAACCTATTGTAAAGCTATTGGTTTTCTCTATTCTTGAAAAGCACTGGTGTACATGAGCCTAGAGTAGAACAATACTGTCTGGTGTATGCAAGAGTGGCTGTCTAAATAACCCCAGTGGCTCTTTTTAGCACATGGCTACAACGGAGTGGTGTCAGCCTCATGCTTGCATCACCACTCTACAGGGAGCAGATGCAACACCTTTGGCACATTCAACCACTGGCATGCCGCCTGCAACTGTTCAAGGCTTTGCACAGCCCTTATGACGACTTTGGTGTCAGAGGAGGCCTAGGTGAGTTACCAGAACAAATGTAACAGTACTAATAGAACTACTAGAATACTAAGTGTAACTGGCTGGAGCACTGTAATACAGGCGCAGAGCTTGCAACCACTGCAAGTGCGTTCGAAGCAATAGATTTTGACTCTGTAAGGAGGAAGTGTGCTGCCAGAGAACATACGATTAACCAGCTGAAAGTGCCACTAGTAAAACCGGAAATATGCAAGCTTTGATCTCCTTTTTTGTGCTATTCATCACAGCATAGAATAAATATAACAAAATGCACATTTCATCTACGCATCTTCTTTTTCCCCACTCGGACCTATGCACAAATTTAGGACCAGAGGTGGGTGAAAACCAGAACTGCCCTAGGCATAGGGGAAACACGTGTCGGGTTCCTTACCGTTCCACCCCAGAGGGCACACTGGTGGCAGATGCAGAGGCGGCAGTTCCAGCAGTAGACACTCAGCTTCTCACCCTTGTGGTGCTGGCAGCGCTCTTGGTCACGTGGCTCAGGGGAGCCGGGCTTGGCCGCCTCTCCGGTAGTCGCGGCTGTGGCTGCTGCCGTGCTCAGTTGGAGGGTGTCCAGCTGCTGAGTGACCTCCTCCACCCAGCGGCAGTTGACCAGCTCGTGCAGGTGCAGGGAGGCGCGGCAGTGCGGGCACTGAGACCGCTGCTCTGTCAGCCAGCGCTGCGACACATTCATTGTCTCTGTTTACTCTTTCAAAACTCTCAAATACATGATGATAGTTATAGCGCGAGAACAGAACGACGACACAGAGACAAGAAGGACACGATAGACACGTCATGTCATACCAACTAGCCCAAGCTGCCACACATCTCAAATACAGGTTAAAAATAATCTATCTATCTTGAGACAGTGAAGTTTTTGAACGATGGTGTCGATTGGGATCTTCAGCTTGTCTTCCTGTCTGTCTGATTCTTGCCTGATGTAACAAAGGGATTGCATTTATTTAATGCAGTCATTTTTGATACAGCTATTAAAAATCAATTATGATTATTTTAATAATTTGCAACTCTCATGATGAGAAAGAACAGTATGCCAGAAACTGTCACAAAGTATTACCGTGGTCCCTCAATACTTTTACTGGTCATGAAACTCCCGCGTAACTCAATGAGAGAGCTTCATATACCGCCCGCACTTTCCGCGCCGCGGCGCTGGCGTAGCTACAAGGGGGACGAGGAAGCCGCCTGCTGCTGGCCGCCATTAGCCGAGTGTGAGCGCGGAGTGGTGTTGTTTGTGCTGCTTGCACCTTTTTTTTCTCTTTTCGCGGTCACCTCGTCGTGACCGCGATGCCCAACACCTGCTGTGTGCCGGGATGTCGCTCGGGATACAAGGGCAACGTCGAAAAAGTCTCCCTGTTCTGTTTACCAGCCGACGCACAACAACGCGACAGGTGGAAACGTGCAATCCTGCGACAGGAGACTGTCGGATTTTCGTTCGACTCGAAGTATGTTCGCGTATGCGAATTCGATGCAAGTGACATCGTAAGTGCGGACGTGTGTACAGTGAGTGGGAACATCGTTTCACTGCCTCGAGATCGGCCAAGACTGGTGGAAGGCGCCGCGCCAAGAATTTTCGAAGGTTTGCCTGCTTACCTCTCCAAACCAAAACAGCATTCACGTGGACTAACAAAGCGCCCACCTGTAAAAAGGCCGCGAGAGCTTTCTCTATACCGTGATGCGACAGTTGCGAATGCGGACGTCTCCACTGCAGCCGACGAAGAAATCGACGGTAAGTCTGGCACAAAGCTTGCAAGTATCCTAGCCGCTCACTATGCTAACAAATTTCGCTCACTATACGCTAACAAAATTGGCTCCTTCTCTTATGAAATATGCTCTTTGTCAGTCTTTGCAGATGTTGTAAGAACTGAGAATCGCCCAGGCTTCGCTGATGCAGAGTGTCAAACAGAGGTCCCAGTTTGTTCAGCCTCGGAGCTGCAGAGAGTGAAGGCGCAATTTCGCAGCGTGAAGCAACAGCTTCAATCATGCCAGCGGAAACTCGCAAAAGCGGAGGCGCACGCGAATAAAAAAGATGGAATGTACGGAGATATTCACAAGCTGTCAGACCGCGAAAAGCTCATTATAGACCAGTGCATCATGAAGGCAAATATGAAGTCTACGAAAGCAGCACGGTAAGATACCGTTTGTGAAGTGTGTTTGGAGTTTTATGTGAAGTGCGGTTTTCGGAGTGTGCACGTTTTCTTTCTGGATAATGATAGAAACTGAAAAGTGATGCGGTGGACCAAAATGCAATATTTTGTTTTACTTTGATAGTGCTGTTTGGTGGTGCTGTCGCTGAATCGTGAACACAAAAATCTGCATTTTATTCATTGCAGGTATAAAAAAGAATGGCTTTACGACTGTTTACTGCTGACAATCAAATCGACAGCAGTTTATACATTTCTTCACGAGAATAATTTTCTGCCTCTACCACACCCTCGCACACTCTACTCCTACCTAAAAAATCTGAAGGCCGGCTTTGGATTTGATGAAAATTTATTTGCCATTCTCAAAGACAAAGTGGGAAATATTCCAGAGAAAGAACGCCGAGGTATCAATTTTTATTTTTTTGCATTCGATTTTTCTGGACTTTAGGTAAACAGCTGAAATATTATTTTTTTTTTCTTTAGGGGTCCTGATGCTTGACGAGATGAGCGTGAGAAGGAGCTTTCATGTAAGGGAATCGGATATGACACTACTTGGAAAGGTCGACTTAGCAGAGCACACGAAGCCTACTGGCCAAGTGAAAGATGGTGACCATGTGTTAGTGTTCCTTTTCCGACCATTCCTCGGTGGCTGGTCGCAGACTGTCGGAGCGTTTTGCAAGTCAGGGGCTGCACCAGGCTCCGCTATTACTAAACTGCTCCTGCATTGCATTGTACTCCTGTCGAATGCCAATGTCGTTGTGGATGCAGTCACTTGTAATAACTCTACTTCGAACCGATCAGCATTTAACTCTTTGGGTAAATATTTATACACATTATTTATCCTCATGGTATCTAGTACGTGATCTTAATAATAGAAATGTCTTCCTTTTAGGTGTCAGCGGCGATATCGCCAGAGTATCAACGTCATTTGAGCATCCATGTGACTCCTCCGAAGTCATTCAGGCCATAATTGACCCACCTCACATCTTCAAGAGCATCAAGAATAACCTTCTGAAGGCTGGAAAATTCCTGGTGGGTAAAACACAGTTTAAGATAAGTCATCACAGTGCTCTGGCTGTTTTGTCTCACAGGCTTTTTCTTAATGTAACAGTTGCCTGGTGACAAAGAAATACAGCATTTCCACTTTGAAGCTCTGCTAGACTACGAGGAGCAGCAAGTTGGACATCGGGCTGTGCCAAAGCTTACGAAAGCATACATCAGGCCCAACGCTTTCCAAAAACTGAGTGTGAAACTTGCTGTCCAGGCAAGTCTGCTCTAGCATGTGTCATTAATTATTAGTATGTATCAAAAGGGCTGTTCCTTCATGAAAATACAGCACTCTGCCATATAACTTCTCTAAAATCTTTTAGCTCTTCAGTGAAAGCACCGCTAAAGCAATGGACTTCTATCGCAGTAGAGAAGAATGTGTGAAACTTCGTGGCTCCAAAGCAACCTTGGATTTTGCGAGACGAACGAATATTCTATTCGTCTGCTTAAATTCCAAGAGGCCACAAGATGTGCAGTATAATCAAGCAGAACACATTGCTGTAAACCCTAATATTTCAAAGCTATGGTCGCTTCCTTTGAAGTTCCAATTAAATCAGATTGTTTTTCAGACACTGAAGGAGAACATCGAGTGGCTTGACAGGTGGCACACTTACAACCAGAGTTTACCAAAGCAAAAGCAACTCTTCTTTCTGAGCAAGCCAACATGCAATGCTCTGAGAATGACTTTGCACAGCACAGTGACGCTTGTTGAAAAGCTGCTGAAATGTGGCTTTCGCTATGTTTTAGTTGGAAACTTTGGACAAGACCACCTCGAGGTAAATTTAAACCTTTTCGCTAGTTGAAGACATTTTCTTTGCACTTTTCTCTCTTTCAGAGGTTTTTTGGCATAGCAAGGCATGTTGCTGGAGCAGGGGGACAGCCAATGGTTCAGCAATTTTTGTTCATTTTACCGGCTGCTCTCGGTGAACAACTTGATCTGTCCGCCACAGCGAGCCTCTCTTGAAGGGGATGGTCCACGTCTCCTTTTAAAAATGCAGGATCTCTTTCAACATAAACAACCTACTGTTAATCAGGTAAACATTTTAATAGCACACCAACGCTGTTCGTAGGGTGTCTCTCCATCGTATGGAAATGTGCTGAATGTTGTCTAGCCCTTTGATGCTAATGACATGCACGTCTGGTCGTATGATATACAACGAGCTTCTATTCTGCTTTTTCACTTTTCAAATTTCTCACTCTTGCCATTGTGGTATGAAAAAATATTTACGTTTCAGATTGATACCTTGGCGGTTCTTTTTGATGATATACTGCTGGAGCCTGCTGAATGCATGCAAGATATGATTCATCCGGAGTCAATGAGGGACTGCATTTTGGATTACCTTGGCGGCTATGTTGCAAAGAAGTTTGCTAAAATAAGCTGCAAGAACTGCCTCCAAACACTTAGAAGGAACTCCCGAGAGCTAACTGCATTGACTGCAATTAAGACGAGAGAATTTTTACAAGTGCCATCGGAGCAACTATTGCACCTCTTGCATATTGTGGAGGAACATGATGAAATGCGCACCATAGACAATATAGCCTGTGCCAATGTCTACATGAACATTGTTGAAAACATCTTGCTGGACGACCGCACTTCCTCGGTCAGTGTTGGCTGTGGAACACATTTTATGAGCACCAAGGCAGAAGTTGTGCACTTTTTATTGAGTGCCGTCTGCAATTTTTTACGCACGAACAAAACAAACTGTTTCGTGATGGTGGTCGCCCATCCTGTCCGGCCAGAGGAGGGAGAAAACCAGGGGCATAACTTTTTTTTTTCAGTGATCTTTTTTGTGTCATTCACTCTATCTCCCAACTTTTCATCCACAGTTTCATCCACGCAGATTTAAATAAACTCTATGTACCTGTGTTTATGGCAGTTTGGAATTCTTGACAATTGCCAGTAATTGCAGCAAAAAAATGTGCCGAGAATTTCGCCCACATTTCCTTGCAAGGTGCAGCGTTGTTGCAAAGTTCAAAATGCTACCCACTGCTAGGTAAATGGCACACAAATTTATCTTCGTTAGGCAGAAATATTTTGCACATAAAAAGCTGAAAAAAATTGAAAGAGATATCTAAGTGAACAAAGAAAAGAAAGTGTTCGGTTTAAGCCCGAAAGCGACTATATAGAAATCGAGAAATGTAAAAAATGTCACGAACACATCCGCCACTTGACAGATACTCTTACTCAAAACATTGCCAGCAATCAATGACGTGGGCAATTTGACAACGCGCATCATGTACAATATTGACAATACTAATCACTGCTATGATTTGTTAGCGAGAACACGGAGAAGGAAAAAATCTGAAGAAGTGTATTTGACGGCAAACACTTCTGTGAACGCGCACCTGCCCTACCAAGCGCGGCAGATCAATGCCCTCCTGCATACGGTGGCGCCTCTGGTGGCCACTTTTGTCCCTATATGAAACTTTCGCGGAAGTTTCATGACCAGCAAAAAGTATTGAGGGACCATGGTATTACTTTCTATTGTACACAATTCCCTTAAGACAATACCTAAAAAGCTAATGAGTTTTGTTAATTAGTCCCTTTATTATCATTATAGCTGTGGCAAACTATTTCAGCCTCATTGTATGCAAAAATGATGTGTGCAAAATGACGAGCATTACTCTCACAGGGTATTTGCTGAAAACCTGTATTCTATTAAAAAAAACCCTGCATATTACACAATCAAAGATAATTATGTGTTGCCGAATAAAACTGTTCAACAAAAATTAATCAAAAAGAAAATATATGAAATTCCAGTCCCTATGCAATGCTGAGTAGCATGTACAAAATAAAGAAACGAGTCAGTGAGTTAATGCACGAAGATGTTGACTTACACATGTGAAAAACCGATTGTAAAGTAAAACTGGACAGCATCTACTTCCATTTCAGTTTTATGGCGTATTCAGTTAAGATGTTTCGAGCACTCTGGAGCACCCTGAAAAGTGGCTGTGGCTTCAGTTGGTAGAATTCCAGTGCTTGGACTATCTTCAGTTTGTTCTTTCAGAGCCTCAGCCTCAGAGCGCTCCCAACCACTCTGACTTCGAAGTGAGAGCATGGCGCGATCTGACCAAAAAGATGGGTCACGTGACACAAGTCAGCCAATCACGTGGCTGCCGACAGGTGAACCAAGTGAGGAGCGCGAGCATGCATATCGGAAGGGGGTATTGCCGGGCGCGCAATACTTCGTGCACGTGCGTTGTTAATGGCGTTTTTGTGCATGTGTGGGGTGAATTTACATCTACGAAGCCATAAATGCCCCATGTCAATAACAAGGTGGCTAGCGATGGCGGAGGAGACGTCAATGCTGTGGTTACAGCAGCTCCCAGACAGCCTCGTGATTTGCTTTGAAGATAGCAGTTCGGACGAGGATGATCGCCGCATTTATGTGCTGAGCTCAGAAGGCTCTCACTACATGCAGACATGTCGGAAAGAGGGAAAGAATATAATATAGGTCAGACATGTCAGAAATGTCCAATGAAGTGATCGGCACCACTTGTTGACGCGGCGCAGTAATGTTTACCCGGCAGCTTCCTGCTACGCGGTGGTGCTACAGGCGCGGTGTTCCAGCGCTCTGAGATCACCGATGTATTCAGTAGGTACGCTGCCTCTCGCTCTCCGATTGCGAGCTGCCTCTGCACCTGGTGACTCTGAGCGAGAGGACCAGAGCGGCCAACCGAATACGTCATTAGTTCATCCCAGCATCACAAGCTGAAACTGTGCTAGCAAAGCTCACCGTAACTCACTTCAGTGCCCATGAGACCTGTCCCCATTGGCCACTTATCGTGACAAATAAGTTAAGTATGGAGATTGGTTACAAGACAGAGCTGTGGACTGAGTACGAGAAACAAGGAGCATAAAAACTTGCAAGGTGAAGGAACATTTAAATAGTTGAAAAAACTACTAAAAAATTAGAGAGCAAGCACCGAAGCTGAAAAAACTGAGTGGAGATTAACGAAAAGAGTGCTTCACATATCAAGACACATTCGCTTTGTTTTGAGAAGTGAATGTGAGAGAGGCATCTTTTTCAAAAAAGTCACCCTACAATTTTCTGTTAACCAAGAAATTAGAATAATTCAGAACACTGCCAAATTATTGGACAAATGAAAGCATACGGACTCTAAATGAGACTGCAAGTCAGTTCTTTAGAAATAAGAAAATCTTCCTGAACAATGCTGATGTTGCCCTATGACTCGTATCCTCACGCTTTCGAAAACAGCCCAAATGAGATAAAGCACTTTTGCGTGATATGCATGAAATCAGGTTTATGCACAGGTGCTGAGCTTTAAGCGCGAAATCCTGAGAAATGCAAACTTGGCCAACATTTACCACACAAGCAATGAAACTTCTTTGTCGAGTTAACCGAAAATGCAGCTTTGATTTAAGCTTATTATTTAGCAACAAAGAATAATAATTTTGAGGGCTCTATGTGCCAAAACCAGAACAAAATTATGAGGGACACCGTGGAGTGCCTTGGAAATTGAAACCACCTAGAATTCTTCAACGAGCACCCACATATAAGTACACGGGCCTTGAGCATTTTCAACTCTGTAGAAATGTGGCCGCCATGACCAGGATTTGATCCCGCGACCTCCGGGTCAGCAGCGATGGTTGCTCTTTGGCGTACTTTAAGTAACTATAATAAAAATAAGAAAGAAATGCCCCTCGCGACTCACTCGAATGCAGGCGTAGCAGCAAAGCTTGGAGCAATGGGGACACAGGTGGGCATCCCGCAGCCGTTCCATGCAGATGAAGCAGCGGAACACCTCAGCCAGGCTCTGGAAGTAACCATTCGACTACACTGCAGCACAAGGTTGAGCAATGCAAAGCCGATATCCCACCAGCATATGGGAAGTAAACTTATTACTCGGGTAAAAACAAAGTGCCCGTTGAACATGGGGGTTGCGACTAAGTTATCTCGAGCAAGAAAGACTAGTGTCATGCGCAGTTCAAGACAATGACAGAGCCGTCCGACACCTTCTGACCTCTAATCAGAGCAACAATTTTATTTTATGAATGAAATCGTACTTTCGAACCACAATCATGTTCCCATCATAACTAATGAACGAACAGTCAAACACATCTGACAATTGAGGGCGACGACAGACCTGCTGCTGTAAAAAAAAAACCTAGGCAAGGAAAGAAGTAAACAACTAAGAAGTATGATGACATCACTACAATCGAAGAAACCAACAACAGATTTTTTTAGACCTTGTGTTTTTAGAAGGCAATAAAAAGCTCACCCTTTGTTATGTTTGCAGCTGCAGCTCAAAAGCGAGTGGTTATTTTATTAGCAGTATTTTTCAATCTGAAAAGACCCTCAACTGTATGTAGATGTCCAAACGTGTCCAAGCGAGTATGTCGGATGTGTTATTTGAAGGTCGCAGGTTCGGGCCCCGCCAACGGCAAGTTATCTTTTCGTGCGCATTAGTTTCGTCACATTTGTATCTAAATTACAACAAATAACATGCCCCGACACTTTCTTTGGCAATGCTCTTTGTTAGTTCTCATTTATACTGTTTCTTACTGTATAGCATTACTACCTAATTGTGGATGCTTTCCCATATGCCACTCCCCTCTGCAATGCCCTCTGACCTTCAGAGTACCACAAATAAACAAACGAACCAATAAATAAATAAAGAAACAGACAAAGAGCTAGGTTACATGCAACATGCCCTAATGTTCAGTCTAAGTGCAAAATTTATACAACACACATCCATACCCTGCAACGAATCAATAAAGGGACTGACAATTGATTTTTTTCAACCTAGTTTTTTCCAGTGCTACAGAAAACTTACTCTTCATAGCGTTTTTAGCTGCAGTAGTTAATCCCAAAAGCACGTAGTTGTTTTATAAGCAGTATTTTTCCATCTGAAAGGCTCTGAACACGGATGTCCCTTTTTGTCCAGCCAAGAATCGATAGCGATGCCAGTAGCCCTTCCAGCAACTTGTGAATGCTGTCGTTCTGCTTTCACAGAAGTTCCTGCAAATATGCTTAATAACATTTATTCTGAGCTTTATAACTATTTTTGAAAATAACAAGCCATTACAATAAGACGATGTGGCTTTGTACAGCTTTCCTGTACTTCCGTCCGTCCCATTCGGCGCGCGCGCCTTTGAAAAAATGTAATAGAGGTAGTTCGGCCGCGACGCGACGCTGTTCTCCCACTCCCTTGTTGACGCAATGCGCTGGCGGCGTCGTAGACAGCCGCAGATGTGCTTGGAGAAATGCGCATTGGACATCGTGCACGTGGTGACTGGAATGAAGGTACGCTGTTACGTTTTCTTAACCGGTCTTTACACAGTGAGTGCAATTCACTGTAGCGTATTACGCTCTAGATAGAGCCAAGCAGCGTGCTTAGGCGACTTCGTTTGCATTGCGCGTTCAAATGCCATGACACATTGTTGTGCCGAGTGCGCAATTTGCCGTGCTTCTCATTCTTTGTTTTAGCGCTCGTTTCTCGCACGGCCGCCTGTATCGGCGCGCGCCATGCTTCTTTGTTTTTTTAATGAAAATGCATTTCGTCGTCGTCAACACTGCATAGCTATGTTCTGCGGTTGAGCGCTGTCTTGAGATCAACACGTCGGAAAACTAAATTGCGGTAATGCTAATGTTGTAGTCGTTTTCACCTAGCCGATGATAGGCAACATTTTTTTCGTGGACACATCTCTTTGCATTCTGAAGTTCCCACGATACAACAGTGATGCGAATGCGATGTTTCTATTAAGCGCAGGCCGCATGTAGGCGAATCTCAACGCGGAAGCGATGAGCGACGCTTGTCACCTGGGAATTAGCTAAGGGCCGCTCGCGCAATGACCACTTTCTCTCGTTTTGGTGTTGCTTGTCGTTTTAACGCGACAAAATTAATGCGTTCATTTCGCAGTAATTCCGGTGTCGGCGTCTTTGGTTGTGGGCGAAAATTCGAGGTAGATGCAGTAACGATAGGAATTCACAGAGAAGCGAAGGCATGCTAGCAATTGAGAAGGCGGTGTGTGTGTTTGTGTGTGTGTGCACGCGCGTGGGTATCGCTGTCGCGTTTAACTCTTAAAGTGAAGCTTAAGGGTCCCCCAATTTCTGTCTCCATTATTGCGTGCATACTGTTTGCTCTTTAAGATTCGAACTAATCTACTGGTTCTTTGGCTGAACGGCTGCTGATATGGCTTTCTGCGACTTGCATACATGTTTTCATATGCATTTTCCCGTTGTCATACCACACTGACTTCAGGCAAATAATTTGTTTCTTGGTCTGCTTTGAGATTCCGTGTGTGATTGACAGTCTTTTTCAGAAACATGCCGTAGTGCTGCGTGCCGTACTGAAAGTCAAGCACCAAGAAAAAGCTTGGTGTAAGCTTCCACGAGTTTCCTGCAGACCAGGCTATCCAGCAAAAGTGGCTTAAAGCCATATCCAGGAAAGATTTCATTCCAAACGACAAGTCCACCAGTAGCGTCGTCTGCTCATTGCATTTTGTGGGCGATGACTACTCTTCTGATTCACCCAAGAGACGGCGCCTGAAGAGGACTGCTGTTCCCAGTGTCTTTCCTGGTTACCCCACCTATAAGCAGCCGCAAATACCACAGAAGCGACGAAAGTTGGAGCGGGAACAACCACCGTGTGCAGTTCCTGCAACGAAGGTCGTCCTTTGCACAGTGAACAGTGACAGTGTCGAAGATTGCACACCAAGTGGCCGTGAAGAAAGCCACCAGCTGGTTCCAATGTCTGTGATCTGCCTACCCACGAGTTCCGAAACCTTGCTGGAGTCTGAAACTACTCATGACATACAGGCTATCCCTCAAAATATTGAGAATAGGCACCCAGTGAATTCAACAGGATGCGCAACTCAAACTACAGACAGAACCGTCCCATGTCGGCTTTCCGACGTGCAGAAAATAAATAAATAAACTAAACTATACTATGCTATACTATAGACTATTCTATTTTAAATAAACTATTCTATGCATCGTGAACGCATTGAATGCCTGCATTGAATGCTTGCAAATCCGCTTGAACACAAACATGGCAAGTACAAAATAAGACAATCATCATGGCATTCCTTCTATGGAAGGAATACCATTATCACGACAGGGACTGGCGCACACACGCACAAAAATAAATAATATAGCGATAGCTGCCGTCCATTCTTTTATGTGCGTTTTGTGAGGGTGGGGGAGGGTGGTATGCTAACCCACGGTTACTATACAGCGATATTTTCAAGGCGCCGCTAACCTTCCCGCATAGATAGCAAAGAAATGGAGCGGTAATAGGCGCACACCACGGTGCGGCGAAAGCAGCGGTCACGCCCCTTTTTGCAATTACGCCTCCTCCGTCCGAATGGGACGGCCGGAGCAACACCGCCGCGCGCCCCGATCCAGGCGGCCGTGGGGTACATTAAATAATTGAAGTTTCTGCCACCATGTGGCACTACAGGCCATTAATTGCAATTTTCAATTAAGAAATAAAAATGTAACTTCCCTTCTCAAGAGAAAAACAGGGTTGGCTTGAATCTCTATGAGGGACAATCTTGCCATTCGTGAAGTCCTCTTATTTCATGTTCTGGGCAGTGGTTGGTCCTTTTAAAGGGGCCCTGTATGACCAGAAAATGCTGCCGATCGGTAGTAGAGACTCTCGACAACACGCGAGCCAAATATATAGCGCAGCACGTGGCCTGGAATTCACAATAAATTATTCACAATAAATTATCAATGTCAGTTAAAAATTGATTCCTCTTCTTTCGAGAAATCACGGAATATGCCCCAAAATCACACGTGAATTACCCATGTATCAGCCATTGGCTGATTTGAACATGACGCGCTCGCTCACTACAGAGATCGCCGCAGAAGGCCGCTATTTACCCACGTGTTCGCGCACGATCACACTGAAAAAGCAGCGCATTCGAAGAAAAAAAAAAAGAAAAAAGTGCTCAAGGTCACGAGGCGCGTGTGACGGTTTTCTGTGGCCCTGCCATCCCTCCCTGCTTAACATTTAGCCCTTTCGTCAGGACGAGAGAAGAGAGAATGCAATTGCACCATTCGACAAACCTTTGTACCTCCACTCGCACTGGATGGATTCTTAAAAATTTGCGGCATTGAATTAGTGAGGCAATAAGCTTTTCTAGTGAATTCATTCTGTGGTTCATCTGAGGTTTGTACAAAAAAGGACCTTGTCGTCAAATAATCCTGGATCCATTGGAACATCCGACCACCGATTCCGAGTCTAGGATGGCTTTATGTGGACCTACCACCAATTACTACACCTCCCGTGGCATCCCTCAGGGCGCCGTATTAAGTCCCACGTTATTTAACCTCGTGAAGAAAGGACTTCGTGAAATTTTGCCAAGTACTATCCTCATATCCATATATGCTGACGATATTTGTCTATGGACTTCGGCTGTAACTCGTCTACAAGTACGTGCAAGAGTCCAGCAGGCTGCCACCCTGACATGCTCATATCTCCGCAAGCAAGGTCTTTCCGTCTCAACGGAGAAATGTGCATTGGTTGCGTTTACTCGTAGAGCCATGACACAATACCCCGTTACCATCAATGGGCAAAATATTCCATACCAGGAGAACCATCGCTTCCTGGGTGTGATTATTGACAGGGACCTTTCGTGGAGTGCCCACTGCAATTACCTGAAGAGAAGGCTAACTTCCATCGTCCATATAATGCGGTTCCTCTGCGGAAAATCTTGGGGCACATCAATAAGGTCAATGATGCAGCTATACAGGGCACTGTTTCTGGGATTTTTGCGCTACAGCTTGCCGTTATTGGCAAGTACGTGCAAGACGAACATTCGCACCCTCGAAAGTCTGCAAGGACAAGCACTACGCGTGTGCTTAAGATTGCCGCGATGCACCTCAAACTAGGGGCAATTATGATTGCAAGAGAGCATCCAATTCAAACATACATCATCACTGACAATCTGAGAGCCCACATAAGACACCTCTGCCGAGTTCCTGGTCACCATGTTGCAGTGTTGCCACTTCAAAGACCACAAGCGATGTTTTCAAAGATTATTTCTGCCCATAGAGTCTGCCTTCCTTTCGGCTTCACTCCAGCAACAAGACCAGCCTCACCTCCGTGGTGCCTACAACAACCACAAGTGTGCCTCACTATTCCGGGAATAACGAACAAGAGCCGTCATTCAACAGTGGTCCTACGACAGGTGACATTGTCGCTACTCAACGAAAAATACGGCCAGAGGACCCACATTTACACCGATGGATCGGTCTCGGCTGACAGCTCCACAGGTGCTGTTGTCATCCTGGCGTACCAGGTCACTATAAAGCTCAAACTGTCGGATAGGACAACATTCACAGTAGCGGAGCTTGCCGCCTTACGTGCTTCTATACTTTATATCGCGGAAGCCCGACCTCAAAAATGGGCTGTGTTCTGCGACTCCAAGGCATCCCTTCAGAGCTTGCAATCAGCTTTGCGACAAAGGGAGCATCAACAACTAGTGAATGAAATAAGAGGAGTGATTCACGAAGTTTTATCGAAAGGACATGACATGGTGTTCCAGTGGTTACCGGGACATTGTGGTATTATCGGTAATGACCTAGCTTGATAATGCTGCCCGATCCGCCCACGCAGACGCCCAGAAGACCTCAATTCCATTGTCGAGAACCAACGCTGCAAGGGGCCTTCACTCGTTCGCTAACACCATGTCAGAAACTTGGCTGAGTGACCCCAGTGTCAGGAACCGCCGCCTACACAAATTGGACCCATCGAGAAAGCTTCAAGTTCTATCGGACCTCTCCCGCCAGGATGCAACTTTACTGTGCCGCCTGTGGTTAGGAGTAGCTTTTACAAAGGCGTACTCCTTTCGCATAGGAATGGCGCATAGTTCCCGATGTGAATCGTGTGACACTGACGAGACAATAGAACGTCTACTGTGTTCATGTGAATGTTTTTCGAGAGAACGCAACTTGCTACGCGAAACGTTAGAGACACTAGACCTTTCTCCGAAGAGAATATCCTTGGTTCATGGCTGTACGCGTCGCAGGCCAGCAAAGCGACGCGAGCACTGCTAAGTTTTTTAAAGACGACCGGACTACGTGACCGTTTATAAGTGTGCAATGGACAAGGTCACATCTACACACACGTTGCCCTTCACTTCTCTCTCTCTTCTCCTATAATCCCCTCACCCCTTCCCCCAGTGCAGGGTAGCAAACCGGACGTGCGTCTGGTTGACCTCCTTGCCTTTCATTTCTTCCCTTCCTCCTCCTCATTCTGTGGTTACTTGCAAAAGCATTTCAGGGCCCCTTTAAGTGTGGAATGAGTGTCACAGGTCAGAATTCAACGCTCAAACAAGCTCCATTTTCCCTGCTTGTATCTTCATGGATCCTCCAGTCTGACTACTCTTCACAACTGGCCAGTATGCTCTGCAATGTTCAATCCGCGGACCACCACGCCCAAGCTATGCTCATCACTGAAGATTGCTACGCTATTACAAATGGTACCATCCTCTAGCTCAACATTTGTTTCTTCTCAATTCTAGAAAAAGATCTGTGAATAATGGTCCTTCGTATATCTACCTGGCGTGCTCAGCCAAGCAACGGAAATTTAAAAAAGACAACACATACATGGAATGCTGACAGAAGAGGTATGTCAAAAAAAGAAAAAGGGCTGTTTCTTGAAGCAACTCCAACAGCTGCCTCACTGAAGATTTCATATTTATATCTGACAGTGAGGCAGACTTTGTGAATACGAGATTGCTTCAGATGACGAAAGCGACATGTGCTGAGTCTCATTTGCACCAATAAAGAAACAATGTTTCTTTGCTTCATAGCTTCTAATACCCCGTAAGACCAGATAAATGTGAGACATTTCAGAATGTTGTATATTTGCTACTATAACATGAACTCAGGGAAAGCTGTCCTTGAAGCAGATTTCGATAACTGTATTTTTGTGTTAGGGCTAGTAACCAAACAAAAGCATATTTCTAGAATAAGAATGAAATGGAAGACACAAAAATGAAATTTGAAAATGTTACATGTTTTCAGGTAATAACCTGCATGTTAAAGGTTTAAGAACAGACGGAGCTCCCAGCAAAACAACATTGTGTTAGGGAAACCACGCTGCACTGAGTTTGCACCACATAATGCACTACACACCACTTGATGGAACGAAAAGTATGACTTTATCCAAGAAACGTTTTAGCTATCATCCTTTTACTTCTTGCTGCACAAGTGCACAAAAATTATCACACAGCTTGACTAACCATTTCAGCTGTTCACAAAAGTGTGCATCTCACTGAAGCAAAAGCAGCGAGACTGAACATTTCGATCCAGCCATTCTTGTTTACTGCAATTCATAAAGTTACAACAGTGTACCGACAGCATTGCCTCACCGTGCTGACTTGTTTCCCATTAAATTAAATGAACAAGTCAATAACCTATTCTACGAAGGTCTTGTATACCTTGATATACCAGTGGAGAGAAGCTTGTAGTTGTTTATTCTAAGTAAAAAAGAAGAGCAAAATGTGCACAACACACTAAAATAGCTCTCTACACAGCCAAATGAGTTAGAGACCCAAACATTGCTTGCAAGGCATCGTTCTTCCTTCATTCTCACCCTAGCAGGCTTCACGCCAATTTTCGCAAACCACAAGCTAAGCCACTCAATAACAAACACCCTCAAGAACGAAACTCTCGGTGCAACAAAAAATCCAGTGGTCCCGACAAACGTCCATGGAGTATGTTCGTTGCATTTCTACGCTCTCGACACAGAAGAAATTTTAAAAAGTGCTCCAGCTATAAGAAAAGCTTTGGGCAGTGATCCCCGAAACCATTTTTTTAACCTATGAGCTAGTTAGGAATCCAGAAGGGCAAAAATGCAGACGAAAGCGAGTGTTATTTACAACTGCAGAGGTTGCATACAGTCACTGGCTGAAGCATGGGACGCACTTTGCCGAGTTGGTAGAGCTACAGGCTAGACCAGACGGTGTTGAACTGAACGACATTTTGCGTGCCGAGATGACCGTGCACCGACAGTTCAGCGGCAAGGCTAACATCGAAAGTGCGTGCAAAGAATATGCGCATGATGACGGGAGTAAGGAAAAAAGCAACACGCAAGGCAAGCAAGTTAGTGCAAAGTTCTTGATGCTTGTGGCATCATTCCCACTTTCCTCCGCATTCACCACAATGAAGCTATGCAATGCTTACTAAATAGGAAGCTCAAGCTGGTACGCTCCTTCAGAACAACTTGAAATGGAGCAAGACCAGCAACTTCTTTCAATTAAGTTCGGTTGTGCACAGCAACAGTTGTGTGTATTTTGTTATTTTTGCGACAACAAAATTCTCTTGAGAATGAACAAAAGTTGCTTCCCTGATGGTTTCGTTGTTAAGAGGTGTGGCTGCGCAGGATTTCTGGAACTTGGTGCTTATACAAACGTTTACATGCAGTTGGCAAGAATGTAGACCCAATATACGAAGCAAGAGCTTTTGAGTTCTCTGATGAAATTTAGACTATTACGAAATTAAGAAGCACGAAATGTTGAACATTTTCAGGAGCCCTTCCATAAACCTTGGGGCACAAAAAGGGCAACACACTATTACATGTATGCGTAACAGCTGCTGTCAAATGAAACTATCAAAAACTCTGCTAAGCGTTATGTGCACTTGACTCTTTACTTGGTGGACCTTCGCTCATCTGTCTGAGAATGCCACCTCTATTACGTCTACATCCATAGGCAAACATGACGCATGTTTGATCATTCCTGTCACAGTAATGTTGAGAAATAGCGGAAAGAAAGAGCAGAAAAATTTCCTTTGCCGACCGCACTTATCCGCAAATGCTGCGCACTAGTCTATAGCTCATGATTAGCTATCGAGAGGTTGCAGCCAACTAAACTGATTGCATGCCGCGACCGAAAATGCTGGACGTCTCCAAAAGTTGCAAAGGAATGAACATGTTCTCAAACGTAACATACAATTGTATACTACTGAAAAGGCACTTCCCCGTCCCCCAACGCACTGAAAATGAGAGCCAAAGAGCTGTTAATCATGCCACCTAACTAAAACACACGAACACGAGGGCGCGAATGGCAGCTCAGAGCAAGACAAAAACAAGCTTACCTCCACACCATGATCCTCCATCGCACCTGCGAGGAAAAAAAAAAACACATAAGTGATGTAAAAGCAGTAAGCCGAGACAAACACGAAAATAGGCACACCTGTCATTACGCGCACACCGGCTATTTTTCCGAACATACTAAACTATGATGCTGCTCATTGCGTTTGCAAGCAACGGTTGATCGAGCGCTCGCTACGAACGTTCACTATAGCACTGATGTCCCGACTCAATTCGAAAGAGCGATACAAGAGCAAAGACGGGCAAGAAACGAAATGAGTCGGGCGCGAGACGGAAGTTTTCGCAATGCGGCAAATGTTTCTGTTTCTGAGGTTCCCTGCACTGTCACTTCCTACATTTTGACCCCGCACCTGTGCACAAAAAGAACTGCCCGTAACGAAAGTCGAAACTCACCACTTGTCCGGAGATCACTACTTTAACGCCAGGCAGTCCGAAAGCGTTGGGAAGCGTGTCAGAGTAACATTACAGTTGTTCTCAGCAGTGGAACGCTGTGGACCGCTGCAAAGCGTACGCGCAGCTTGGGCGGCTAATCTAATCCACAGGCGAGGAGCGGAGGAGGATGCAGGCAATGCGGAGGAGACGGTGAACCCGCGCCAGCTGCTCTCACCAGGTGTCGCAGCTGAAGTAACCACAACGGAGCAAAGGTACGGCTGAAGCATTAATCTACTACTTGTGCAAAAAGCATTTAGAAAAAAAATCATCTCAAATGACCGCTTAGCAACCGTCAGCACGCCTTGGAGTTCGCTCGAACACTTACTTATCTACAGTATTGTGCGTGAGCGCTGCTTTCATTGAGGCAGTCTAATGGCCGCACTTGAGCTGGTGTACTAGATATAGAGATAAGCATGTAGGGGGAAAAAAAAGGGGGGGTGGGGTGAACGGAAGCTCGCCTTACGCTCAATGTTAAGGAACACATGCAATACTGCTAAAATATATAAATAGAAAATTACTGTGTCATATATTCGCCAACAACTCATGCTCAAAAGAAACTATAGCTTCACATATTATTTATTGAGGCAATTAGGACAGCAACATTCAAGCACCCCATGACGCTTGAGGATACGTCAAATAAAATTCGCGGGTTTCTACGAGCCAAACCGGGTTTAATAAGAGCCATCAAGTCCTCTTATGTTTGCTCAGAAGTGCGTGATAATACTGCATCAGCGTGTTCTAAAACAGCTTGTGAGCAGCTAGGCTACAGCAAATTTTCATAGAGGCCCGGTCTTCCCTTGAGCAGAGGGAGATCTTCAATCACTGCTTCCCCCCCCCCCCCCCCATCATGGTTGTTTTCCCAGAACGACCATTTCCACGAACCCCAAGGAGCTTAATTGTTTCCCCAATATTGTAGCTACGTCACCTCTTAACATTTCCTCAACATGGTTATTGTTTCCTTTGCAGGATATGTTACTGCATCTTATAATTTAAGCGCATGGCAACAGAGCCCCCAGGCACTGTGTCGGTTATCACTCAACACTCGGAACTACTTCTGCATCGGACTAAGTGCATGCATGCAATAGGTTTCTATTCCTGATTCGTGTTACAGTTAAACCCCTTTATAAGAGGCATGCTCCAGACAGCAATTGTTATCTTTTATACGAGGTGTTTCTTGTAAGCAGGGTACCACTTATGCATTTTCTTGCCAACCCCTATTTAACGTACTGTAGGCACACTGGTATCTCTTATAGTACCCATTTGTCTCTTATATAAGTGTCTCTTATAAAAGGGTTCGACTGTATAATGCCAGTGCTACTGATACAAGGTCAAAATGTATGAACCCACAAAATGGCAACTAACAGAGGTAATGAACACCATACTACACACATGAAGTAGGATATTAGATTACGAAGAGGCTTATAAGTTAGCATCTTTACCCATATTAATGAAAGGTAGGCTGGCACTTGTGTTGGCCAACTCCTAAGAGAGTGGAATGAAGTTGGTGTGCATGCACTCCTGCGTGTCAGCCATTTTCTAGAGTGAACGCCCAGTTTTGCGCGTTTCTTTTAGCATTTACCTGTTACCCATTAACCTGCTGCAGTCAGTGCCGCAGTAGCTATTCTGAAGCACACTCGCACGCTTGTACCGACATATTAGGCAACTCGTGCGACTCGAGATTGTGACCTTATGTTGTCACAAATTATGAGGTCACAAAAAATGTTTTACAGCGAAAGCTGTTACCAGATCACAACACGGGTCACATACAGCACCATAGTTGTCCAAAACCCCTATTACATGTGTGAGCGCCCGCATGCGCACTATAGCGTAGCGGCCTATCTAATCGGCAGCGCCACCTGCGGCGCCTTTACTCAGATAAACTCCAAGCCCAAGCGAGGGCCGGGGACACGTTTTATCAATCTCGCTCCCGCCTCCGGCGCGTCGGCACGTTTTCATGTTCGAATAAAGCGCATTCTTCTCGTTCACAACGCCTCTCAGCCTTCATGCCTAGCCCGCCCAGCCCTCACAACTGGCGCAGTCGACTCCGAACCATGCCTGGAACGTCGCCTTTTGCCCGCCTCGTGAAGTGATCCGCCGGACTAGCCGCGCGGCGCTCCGTCCTGTGTTTACCGTCCGCCGCCCGATACGCCTTTCGGCCGCTTCGTCCGAGTCATTTCGTGCCTTTGCCTTTTGTTTCGCCGACCGTCGTGCTGACGCCCACCCGCCCGATGAAGTAGCTCGCCTGCAGAGCCGAACCAACTTGACCTGCCCGCCTTTTTCGTCTCTCGTGAGTCTTGTGCTCCTTCTGCTAATTTCTTGTGAACGCCATGCCGCTTGTGAACTGGAACGAGGCTACGCCTGAGGACCTCGCCGGCTTTACAGCAGACTTCCTCCGTGAAGAGTTGGTTCGCCGAAACCTGGACGCTACGGGGCCGAAGGAAGAAGTGATCAATCGTCTCCTCGCCGATATAGCCCAAAACCGCTCAATGACGCCTTTGTCGCCTTCCCCAGATTCCTCAGCGTCCAGCCAGCGCCCGAACACTACGCCGCTTCCTTCGAGCTTCGATGCAGCCCAAAGTACCGAGTTGCTGACGGGTTTACTTCAACAGCTCCTTCAAGTGTCACAACGCGCTGCAGCGCCAGTTCAGGTCACGACCCTTCCAGACCTGTCCGCATCGCTTCCTACATTTAATGGAGACGGCAGCATTTCAGCGTCCCACTGGATTGAAGAGTTGGAACGAACTCGAAACCTAGCTTCGTGGGAGCCTTCAACCGTACTCGCCGTCGCTCTGGGAAAGCTCCGTGGAGCAGCCGCGGATTGGAAAGCAGTCATTGGCCGTCAGTGTCCCACCTGGGACGCCTTCAGGCAAGCTTTCTTGGATCAATTCAGCGCCAAGCAAACCTTACTACAGTGGCAACAAGCTGTTACTTGTCGCGTGCAAGCGCACGGAGAGAACCTGGTCCACTATTCTTTGGCGAAGTTGAAGCTCATTTCGGGATGCCCAGTCACTCTTACCGACACTCAGCGCATAGAGTACGCCCTTCAGGGCATTTCCGACGAGAACCTGGCCACTACTATAGCAGCACAACGGCCAGAAACCGTCGCCGCCTATATGGACATCGTAACGCAGCTTGACCAAACATTGAGCCACTTGTCTCGTCGACTCCCACGCCCAGGGTATTCAAGCACCAAACTAGTAATGCCAAGCCCACAGGTGCCCCACCACAGTGAAGAGCGCACGAATGTTCAGGCGGTACCAGACAAAACAAGACAGCCGCAGCGAATCGCAGCCCTACCACCAGACCAACAAGAGGCTCGGTACCTGACCATCTCTACGAGGCACGGCGCTCCTGCCTACCGTTCTGGCCAGAACTTGGCCGAAGCCGTGTGTTTTCAATGCCGCCAAAAAGGACATCTAGCTTCAAAGTGCCCATCCAGAGCTACTGTCACACAGTCTACAACGCATCCTTCGCCAGCTCTTCACAGCACACTTTCCGAGACCCTTGATGGATCGCTGGTCCAATGCGCCCTTGTAAACGCCACAATTGCTGGAAGCGGCCAAGTGGACGCATTTCCAGACAGTGGTTCCAAGGTGACACTTGTTTCTCGTCACCTTGTCAGATCTTTGCCCCTCCTGCCCTGGACCAGACCCCCTCTAGTTGTCGTTGGAGGAACGACAGTGGCTCCTGCTGGTGCTATCTGCTTGAAGATCTCTGTGGGACCCATCACCGGTTTGGTGGAAGCCGCCGTCCTCGATAACAATGCCATGCCACTTATATTGGGGGAAGACTGGTTTGCTGCCAGTCACGCACAGTTGGTGTTCCAGCCACCCATGCCAACTGAAATTCGTCATCCCACCACAGGAACAAGTGTGCGGTGCTATGAGCGACTGTTGCCCAGGATGTCGAACGCTGTTATGATCCAGGGGTCATCTTTCAATTACCATGTATCTGGACACCACAGCTCAGCAGGCCTCCAGCGAATGCCACTCCCAGGCCCAGATGAACCCCCGTGGTTAGCACTATCTTGTCAATATGAGGTTTCAAACACCAACGGCCCGTCTTCTGAATGCAGGCGAGGTGCTTCTTCAACAATAGAGGTTTGCATTGACCCATCCTTGCCTGCCGCTCAGGTTGGTAGCCATTTGCCAGCACACCAACAACGGGAAATCACGAGCATTCTTTCGAAGCACGCTGAAGTATTCGCTCGTGAAGAGGATGACTTAGGTCTGTACGAGGGTGTTGAACACTCAATCGACCTTCTTCCCGATGCTGTGCCATACAGTCGATCCCCTTACCGTTACTCGGCTGCAGACCGTCGTTTTCTTGAGGCTCAAATAAGCACACTCCTTCGGCAAGGCATCATTCTACCAGCCTTAGGACCTTGGGCATTCCCCGCAGTGGTTGTCAGCCGAGGTAGCAAGAAGCGCCTTTGTGTTAACTATGTGCCCCTAAACAAGATGACTGTGAACGTCGTGCAACCACTTCCACATGCGGATGACATCATGGATGACATTGCTGGGTCACAGTACTTCGCCTGCCTTGACCTAAAGTTTGCTTACTGGCAAGTTCGCGTTCGTAAGGAAGCACAAGGGAAACGGAAGACAGCATATGATCAGTCCCATCGAGACCACTCCTTCCAAGTCGGCCAGTTCGTCTGGGTGCGCCGCCAAGAGCCTGTAGCAGATGGAACTGGAAAGTTGGCACCCAAATTCAAGGGAATATACCAAATCACCAACCAGAAAACACCCGTTACGTTTGTCGTTAGCCGCGTAACTGGTCAAGGTCCTCGTGATCGACTCCAAGACAGGATAGTGCACGCCTCTCAACTCAAGCACTACGTGCCACCTTATGTCGAGCCTTACATTGTGAAAACCCAAGAGTGGCCTTTGTGTGACTTATCTGGCTCTCCCAGTGTTGGCAATGAGTTATCTCATACACCAGTTTCCCTTGGCCCTGCAGTTTTGCCTCCAGCGGTACCCTCCTCGCGACCTCACCGCCAAAAGCGCCCACCCGAGCGCTTGAAGGACTATTCTCTCTCGCAGTGAAGCCACCAAGTAGTGCTCCTTTCCTAGACCAATGGGACTTGGTCAGACAAGGAGGGGCCGGATGTGAGCGCCCGCATGCGCACTATAGCGTAGCGGCCTATCTAATCGGCAGCGCCACCTGCGGCGCCTTTACTCAGATAAACTCCAAGCCCAAGCGAGGGCCGGGGACACGTTTTATCAATCTCGCTCCCGCCTCCGGCGCGTCGGCACGTTTTCATGTTCGAATAAAGCGCATTCTTCTCGTTCACAACGCCTCTCAGCCTTCATGCCTAGCCCGCCCAGCCCTCACAACATGAAATAAAAAAAAAGTAAATAAAAAACACCACAGACACAATAATATTCGAACTCTGCCCAGCGTGCCAGCCCAGTATTCTACCACTGAGCCACGCCAGTGTTTGGAACTCGTTTGTAAACTGGCCTTAGGCAGGCTTGATGTTGAAAAAGAAATCGCGTTAATATGAGTAATAAAGAATTTAGAACAGCAAAGGTACAAGCAGGCGTCACATAATGTGAATTACCTAACGAGTGGGTCGTCTAATGCGCCAACCCATTACAAAACCTGGTATTCATCATCTATTAACTGTGGCGCATACCTACTTCAGGCATAATTCTTCAGTGTCGTCAGTCATTGCATAAAAATTTGCACGAAATTTCTTGCAAATTAATGTGTAGCCGATGCCACGTATGCTCTTCCGAAGAATGATGAAGGATAACATAGTGAATGCCGGCCTGCTACACAAACATTATGTATACTTATGGTGTAGTGGGTACCCAGCAAGTGTGCTTGTAGAGCTACCCAAGGAGTGTTTATAAAAGGTTCTGAAAGGCTGCTTTTCCAGCTTTTGCCGAGACTGTGCTGCGCGTTCCGGGCATCACAGTTGTTTTTGGAACATCTTGCCAGGCAGCCAACACCTGTCAACACAATCATGGACTAATATTAGGAGCTATATACTTGCATACATACCCGACCAGCTCTTCCAAATTTTTCACGACAACATTTTCCGCAGCCCTTGCAGGGACGTGACTTAGTGCCAACCCATAGAAGGTCCGCGAGTAGAACTAAACAAAATTAGAGCTATCCTTTTACCCTGTCCTGTTACCCATGTAATCACGTCTGTATATAAAGCTGGCAATTTGACAGGTTAGATACAGGCTTACAATCCCCATGTTTGACGTCAGTTGTAACAAACTCTTCTTTGTCGGACTATGTACATAAGGGGACGTTAGTGCTAGAAATTTTAACTCACAAGCCACATGCAGTTTTTTTCAGTCCACTTGCAGTTCACTACCATCTGCTAGAAAAATACTGAAATTAACAGGTCTTGCTAACAGCATGCCAACAGGTATTGCTTCTACAATGAACGATTCGAATTCAGTTTGGCCTGGCTGTACGGTGTTCTGTTGCACATTTTAAAAGATAGAGCCACCTGTATAATTAAGTGCTTTAATATACAGCAGAGTCCTGAGCACTTCGTTATAAACGCTTCCAACAAATACATTTGATGCTGCTTTAAAAAAGACCAATATTTCTAAGGAAGCCAAAAGAAGTTCATCGTCATCATCATCATCAGCCTGACTACGTCCACTGCAGGACAAAAGCCTCTCCCATGTTCCGCCAGTTAACCCGGTCCTGTGCTTGCTGCTGCCAATTTATACCCGCAAACTTCTTAATCTCATCTGCCCACCTAACCTTCTGTCTCCCCCTAACCCGCTTCTCTTCTCTGGGAATCCAGTTAGTTACCCTTAATGACCAGCGGTTATCCTGTCTACGCGCTACATGCCCGGCCCATGTCCACTTCCTCTTTATTTCAACTATAATATCCTTAACGCCCGTTTGTCCCCTAATCCACTCTGCTCTCTTCTTGTCTCTTAAGGTTACACCTACCATTTTTCTTTCCATTGCTCGCTGCGTCGTCCTCAATTTAAGCTGAACCCTCTTTGTAAGTCTCCAGGTTTCTGCTCCGTAGCTAAGTACCGGCAAGATACAACTGTTAACTATATACCTTCCTCTTGAGGGATAGTGGCAATCTACCTGTCATAATTTGAGAGTGCTTGCCGAATGTGCTCCACCCCATTCTTATTCTTCTAGTTACTTCAATCTCGTGGTTAGGCTCTGCTGTTATTACCTGCCCTAAGTAGACATAGTCTTTTACAACTTCAAGTGCACTATTACCTATGTCGAAGCGCTGCTCCTTTCCGAGGTTGTTGTACATTACTTTCGTTTTCTGCAGATTAATTTTAAGACCCACCTTTCTGCTCTCCTTGTTTAACTCCGTAATCATGAGTTGCAATTCGTCCCCTGAGTTACTCAGCAATGCAATGTCATCGGCGAAGCGCAAGTTACTAAGGTATTCTCCATTAACTCTTATCCCTAACTGTTCCCATTCTAGGCTTCTGAAAACCTGCTGTAAGCACGCGGTAAATAGCATTGGGGAGATTATGTCCCCCTGCCTTACACTTCTTGATTGGTATTCTGTTGCTTTCTTTATGAAGCACTATGGTAGCAGTTGATCCCCTGTAGATTTCTTCCAGAATGTTTATATATACTTCATCTACGCCCTGATTCCGCAGTGTCTGCATGACGGCCGATATTTCTACTGAATCAAACGCCTTCTCGTAATCTATGAAGGCTATGTATAGTGGTTGGTTATACTCTGAGCATTTCTCTATTACCTGATTGATAGTATGAATGTGGTCAATTGTTGAGTAGCCTGTTCTAAATCCTGCGTGTTCCTTTGGTTGATTGAATTCTAATGTTTTCTTTACTCTGTTAGCAATTACCTTTGTAAATAGCTTGTATACTACAGAGAGCAAGCTGATCGGCCTGCAATTCTTCAAAGTCCTTGTCATCTCCTTTCTTATGTATTAAGATGATGTTAGCGTTCTTCCAAGACTCTGGTACCCTTCCCGTCAGGAGACACCTCGTAAACAGGGTGGCTAGTTTTTCTAACACAATCTGTCCCCCATCTTTCAGCAGGTCTGATATTACCTGATCCTCACTAGCAGCTTTGCCTTTTTGCATGCACTCCAAAGCTTTTCCGACTTCTTCTATCATTACCGGTGGGGTGTCATCTGGGTTACTGCTAGTTCTTATAGTATTAAGGTCGTGGTTGTCTCGGCTACTGTACAGATCTCTGTAAAACTCCTCCGCTATTTTAACTATCCTATCCATATTGGTAGTTATTTTGCCTTCTTTGTCCCTTAGTGCATACATCTGACTTTTGCCTATCCCAAGTTTCCTCTTCACTGCTTTGACGCTTCCTCCGTTTTTCAGAGCGTGTTCAATTCTCTCCATGTTATACCTTCTTACATCGCATACCTTACGCCTATTAATCAACTTCGAAAGCTCTGCCAGTTCTATTTTGTCTGTTGTACTTGAGACTTTCATGATTTGACGCTTCTTAATTAGGTTCTTTGTTTCCTGGAAAGCTTGCCAGTGTCCTGTCTAACTACCCTGCCTCCAACTTCCACTGCACACTCCGTAATGCTACTCGTCAGATTATCATTCATTGTATCTACGCTAAGGTTGGTTTCCTAAGAGCCGAGTACCTGTTCTGCAGCGACACTCTGAATTCCTGTACTTTCCCTCTCAGTGCTAGCTCATTGATTGGCTTCTTGCGTATCAGTTTCTGTCGTTCCTTCTTCAAGTCTAGGCGAATTCAAGACCGTACCATTCTATGGTCACTGCATCGTACCTTGCCAACCACTTCCACATCCTTCACGATTCCTGGGTGTGCAGTCATTATAAAGTCTATTTCGTTCTTATTTTCGCCATTAGGGCTCCTCCTTGTCTACTTGCGGTTTTCTCGTTTTCGGTAGAAGGTATTCAAAATCCGCAAATTATTGCGTTCTGCGAATTTTACTAGTTCTCTTCTGTCTGCCAAGCCCTGATAGCAAAGGACGTGCCCATTCTGTAGCACAGTATAGGCCTCATCTGTCCTCCTAACCTCACTGAGCCCTATTATATCCCATTTAACACCTTCTAGCTCCTCGTATAGTACAGCTTGACTTCACTATTAGAGGTTAGTGATGCTTAAGTCTGTAACTTCGTTTTGCTGCTGTTCTTATAAATAATGGGAAACTCTTTCACAGTACTTTCAAGTCAAGCCTCCACTGGTACCAATGGTCTTTTTATGAACATACAAGACTTGAAAATTTGCACATACCTTCGCTATGGGTACTGCTGTACAGTTTACACAAGAGAAATGTAGGTGGTTGGAGGAACAAGCACAAATACTGCTATATTGCAAGTATTTGTGCTGCTACTCCTGTTTCATGCAAAGCTATGCAGTGTTGTCTCAAATTCATGGTTTTACAACAAGCCTCAGCACCACGATCATCTTTATTACTCGCTCGTCTTTAACAAAAAGCCATTTGTTTTCTTGCAGAGAAAGCCTTCAATACTACTTGTTTCACAGTGTTGTTTAATGCTGTAATCTTGGTAGCACAACTTCCGCATTTAGTGAACAATTAAGAGCAGTCAGGTGAAGAGGAGGACATATTTTTTTCCTTTCTGGGTGTCTTTTATTCAAGTATCTACATTTCCTAAAAAATAAAAATAACATAAAAACAACCTATAACAGCTATACTTTGGGGCACAACCAAGAAAAGTATGCTGCAGAAACAATACAAGGGTTGCAATTAAAAACAATGCAGGGATATATAAATACAGCAGCCACACAGCTCTACAGTATATTTTGTAGCTTATTTTTTTCTTTTCTCTTTCTGTACACGACACGTAAAGGTTGGTTCATCTTCCTAGCTTGCCTAAAAAACTGTCTCCAAAAAAAAAAAAGGGCTACAAAAGAGAGGCCAGACTAGATTTCGTGGATGAGCGCACGACATCCACAATCGAGAAGACGAGGGTGCGCAAACGAACAATTCGTCGTCACCAGGCCTTGTTCTCCTCGCACGCATGTGTGGTACACATGTACAAAAAAAGGCAGCAGATGATAATACAAGTGTTCTCTCCTACCTGCCCTTGAGTAAAAAGGCAAAAAAATATTGTTAAAGCGAGCAGAGCGCCAACCAGCCCCGCCGTTCATTTTAACCGGGAAAATGGCCTACGAGATCCCAAGAAGACGTCCCACCACAGATCTTGCAGCGTCGTTTTGACATCATTTTAGAAAGTTCTATTGCAGTGAGACACTTTGAACATTAGATCAGAGCACATATGCACTTTTCACTCCGGCATACCTATCATGCATGCGTTCACTCCAGCAGCCACAAAGGAAGTGTAGGTACGCAGAAAACTCAACGACGCGTACAGTCTAACTGGACAGCTTCGCAAAGAGTGAGTGCATTCGTCTTGTACTTCTCGGGAAAGCAAGGGCACACAGATGGGAGCAGCAGCTAATGCGCTCTGCCCTTGTAAGATGACAGCAGCTACGCACATAGAAACAAGGCAGCCCCGTAATGTGCAATGTACGCTGGTCGCATTTTAATTGTCGCAGGCCACTTTTGCAAGTCGGGAAATGTTGGGCTGAAATCTTGATAACAGATGTGGGAGGGAGTCTGCTGGCATCTCTCCCCTAATGCATATTCTTGAAGGATGCTTAAGCCCGTTCGGCACAACGCAATGACTGATTCAGTGTCCTCTGTCAAGCCCAAAATATTGCACCTGCCTGATTCTGCCACTGCTCGTGGACATTCAACACTTCCAAGATATTGGGCTCTGCACAATAAAGACTTTACTGGTGGCATGCAGAAGGTCGTTTCCAAGTTGTGCACCGTCAAGACGGAAGCCATGGAGCAATAAACAGCGGCAGAAGCAACATATCCACTTTCAATAACAGTATTACACATAGCTGACTTTGCATCATGCTTGTAATATTGATGTGCCGTCTGGGTCGCATTAAACTGGATGACGCAGTGCAAGTACAACACTTACTTGATACACCAGCAGAATAAGTAATGTACTTTTGTAAATGCAACCTACACTCCGCATCAATTGAACTAGGCTGTATTGGCATTCCGGTAACTAATTTTCCATTCTTTGGACTGAAATGTGCCACCTTTTCATATCACTAACAATCGCTCAAGCTACTTGCATTGGTCGAGTTCTAAAAAACCGTTCTTTACAGAGAAGGTGAGGAAACCATCACGTGGATGCAAAGAGTTCATCATCTATTCGTTTAGAAATAGATTCTTCATGCTGATAAGACATCAAACGATAATATGAAACAACATGAGACGCTATTACGGCCCTGGACTGACTCTGGGTCTCAACAAGTTAAGCAGAACATCTTGCAGTCTAACATTGCAGAGGTTGTCGAAAACCCTCAAAAATAAAGAATCAATCTAAGGTGTAATGGCTACAAATGTTTCTGCGGTGATAGTGCCTGTACGCCTGACTAGGGTCAGCAATAGCCATGCAACGCTACCAGGAGATGCTTAAATAAGTGTGCGCGTTGGTCCATAAGAAAGCAAAGAAAAGAAAGAATTCAGGACGCCAACCTAGTCCTTCACTTGGGCGTCTGGTAGTGGCACTGGCATGTCGGCACTTATGTGCTCTTATGTATTCCTCTTAGCATACATGTCTTGTGCCCTGCTGGAGCAAATCTCGGAGGCAACTTATATCTGTTGCACTGGGTGCTGCAGCTGCTCATAATCTATCGATGAACCTGACGTTCAATGATTACTCCGACAGCTGATTGGTCACTTTAAGTGAGACAATGCTACAGTATCATAAGTATCTAATATTTAACTTGAATCAGAACCATCGACTTATTTTTTGGAAGACTTTTCAAGAATATCTGGAATGCCGGAAAAGCTTGAAAAATGCCCGGAAAGAAAAAAAGCAGTTTGGGGAGATGGTCCCACCAACATAAGTGGGGACCGAACTTCACCTAGATGGCTCAAGTATGAATGCCCCGCAGTGGCTGCAAATTGCAGAGACACCTGAATGTGCGTCAAGACAGAACTCGATGAAGGTGGCCGTGCATGAGGCACGAGCGATATGCAACATCAGCATTTCCAGAGGATTCATGAAATCAGCAGCTTGAACATAATGAGCGGTTATCATCGATGCCAAGTAACAAGTCTGAAGGAAACAAGTAATTCGGTGACACATCCACTAACCAAGACTCGATCTCTCTTGGAACGCAGGAATCCTCATTACTCTATGCTCCTCTAGGAGCACTATATTCCGTTTGAAGTGAGTGGGAACTAAGTTATACCGATCTGCAGTGCCTGAATGTACAATCCTCAATTCACTAACACTGGTTGCTCAAGATTTCTTTGGATGGTCAGATGCTTAGCCCTTTAGCTGCTGTTCCTTTTTATCATTGATCAACATGCTTTAAATTCACAGGGTATCCACATCAACGTTAAACTCGGGATCATGTTGTATTAAGGTCCTGCTTGAGAGGCATGCAAATGTCCGCCGCTGTCTTGCTTATAAATAGTAAGGCTGCAGAATGTAAAGCAGCGCCAAGGTAACATAAGACACATGTTTAGGAGCCATGCACATTAGAAGCTGCGTACACTAATCTGAGGTGCAAAAGACGCTAAACTATCGAAGAACAAAAAGCCTCAGTGAAGATGACCACACCTTCAGAAAATAAGAGGTTCTACCTGCACAAAATCTCTTCTTTGATAAAGTGCCACATTGCCAGAAAGAAAAAAAAAAAAACGAAACCAGTAAATTGCTTCCAGTGGACATCATTGCAGTGCACAGACAACACAACAGAATGTATGCCAAATCAGTATAAAAACAATAAGAGAACATTCACGGAACCACAGAGGCGAGCTAGAGAGATAATGGGTGAGGGAGAAAATGACCATAAATGAGGGGATGAGTTATACCCAGATGTGCTTATGTACATGACTGTCACAGTAATACATCACTTTATGTACACACCGACGCACACATGCCTGCACGTGTTTTTTAAGGTTCAGGTACAACAAAATGACCTAACCAACATCCAGCGAGTCAAGCAAACAACACAACGGGCTCGATTAGTTAATCTCTCGCATGTGGCAGAACGACGGGCAACGCGCTGTAATGAAGTGTGGCTGCAGAGTAAAACGGTGAGATTGCATAAATGAGTTTATGGCCACAAAACGTCATGTCACCGGGAATCCGAGCTGGTTCATCACCGACTTGGACAAAGGGCAAAAAGTGAGCCACTCGCACATTGTATCAACACACACCCCACTCCCCCATTTCGACACATGGCACAACAAATAGAAGGGAACACAGAAGAAAAAAAAACTTCACCAGCTACAGAGGAAACAGACCAGACAGTGCTGCATAACCTTAGGAATGGCATGTTTTTTATACACAGACACCACCCTCCCCCCAGCCACGGACTTTAGCGCTACATTTTATCGGTGCAGCGAGATGAGAAGGCGACAAGTGGAAGCTCAAATTTTTTTGTTTCCTCATTTCTGTTCGACGCTCTGCAGAGTAAAGTTGGAGCTAAAAAAGGGAGTGAGAGCCACGGTACACAACTCATTGAGCCAAGCTCCCAGAATCAACACCTCGGAAAACCGACATCATACCATCAGGAACGCATCCCGAAGAAAAGAACATTGAACATTTGTATACACATGGTGAAGAGAGACTTGTGCGTGCATTTCGTGTCTTTTACATCTGATACCACAGGCTCTTAGTTAAGCAACCACTCGTCACTTTTACGAGAGCCAAGTGACCGCGACAAAGCGTGCGCTACGTCCTACTTCTCGACATGCTCCACGATTACCAGCTACACTTAGTATCCCGTACACAGTCTATGAAATGGTATCACTCATCAGACTTTGCTTGGGTTCTTTTTTGTCCTCATCACATTACTTGTGACTGAGTTTCCCCCGAAACTCTTCGGGCATAACTTCAAACATCAAGGATGTTCAGGACTGTCCAAACGCCACTAAAATTTGAACAGAAAGGAACTTCATACGAAATGGGACGAACTGACTGGGAATGTTCACGTTGGTGCCAGAGTCGATTGCCTTGAAAAAGCGTTTTGTTCTCCACGAAATGGCATCTTGAATTATACAGAATTTCAGAAAGTTTTCATGCATATTCATTCGCTTTTTCCAGAACTAAACTGGTGCACTTATATCGTGCAAGCGTGATATGCATCCAGAATGTTGGCTTATGTGGTTAAAGTGTTGCTGGCAAAGTTGCTTTTGGAACAAAAAAAAGCACAAGTGCCTATTCTGTGGAGCTACTTCTCGGCTGCTTAGCTGTCACCTTGCTTCCTTTCTCCTTCAGATGCTCCGAGATGAAACATTGCACATTTTGCATCCCCCACCTGTGCAGAGGAAAAAGCGTAACACATGGCTGCATTTGGTAACCATGTAAAGCCCTTGGTCTGCTCGAGTATGCTATGTTGACAGAGACTATGCATCAAAACTGCCACGTCATTAAGTTCATTTAAACCATTTCCCACTTACTTATAAAGCCTGCCAGTTCATTGCATATTTCATTCATAAACCAGACAGTTGACATACCAAAATACATTTCTAATTGATGCACCGAGAAGCACGTTGAATTGAGTGTGGGTCATACTAACATCGGTTGCCTTTCAAGACACTATTCTGGGAAAAAAATTAATTTGTCACTGGAAAATTCGCATGCCTTTTAGTTAATGCAACCACAAAGCTGAGAAGCATAGCCACTCTTTGGGGCACTTGCGACAGTGTCTGCCACTTGATCTGTAGGCCAGCACTGGGCTGGCTTCAAGTCTTAAGCTGATAACGGAATGAAGTGGCAATAAAACTGAGTTCAGATGAACGACTCAAACAATTGCTAAGGAGAATGATTAGACATTTCTTGAGCGATAGTGCTTACTTATTTTTTGGTCAGTGCCTTCTCCGAGTGAAGATTATGGTGGAAAGCAAAATAGGCGCCTAAAATGTCATCTCTGCCTGCTATTCACAATTTTAAGTAGTGCTTCTGCACTAGGAAGGCATCTGAGCGCGACTAAAACCACAGCTCGCTCAACGTGTGTGGCCTCGAATGGATCGGAACTGTAGCGCAAGAAGCAGAGATGGGTTTAAGTTGCACGTGCAGGTTCATGATGCCGTCTAATACTGTGTACAAGGTTGTTCCAGGCAAGGCAAGCATTTGTGATCAAGTAAAAGACTCTAGTTTTTCCAAACATCAACTACAAAAAGAAAAAGCAGATCAGAAGCTCTATGAGAGTGTAAATGTCCGACGCATCTAGGCTAGGTTATAAGTATTTCACCACCTCTTGTGAAGTGGAACTGTAGCTGTGCAACACCCACAATCTGGTGGGCTCTCAAAGTGAAATTAAGAAAAAAGAAACATTTTACTGGCTCGCTTTTGAGGCATTAAAGGTGAGCAAAGTATGTTTTAGAACCCGAAAGAAAAATAAAAAAAGAAAGAGGTCGCCAGGAGGAATAGGGCAAAGCATTTTTTTGAGACCGAAAGGTGCCATGTCAGATTCCGCAAAAGATGAAAAAGCCTCGTGCACGCTTTCGCTATCCGGACGACGAGCTTGGGAGCGCAGTCCCACACTCTGGGGGGAGTCATGGCAGCAACAGCAGCACAACACGCACAAACTGGACTGCTAAGTGTTGCTATCACAGTTAATGTTTTTTTGCCGAAAGGAAGCAAGCCGGAGGCGCACGGTCGGCAGCAAAACAGTCGCGGAAGGCAACTGCTCGTTTCTGTTTCTTGCTGCCTCGCCCCTCGGTTTCTTCTTCCTTTGTGACTGTGGAAAGAATAGACAGAGGCTACGGTGTATACTTTGCTGTGTGCAAACTGGCTCCTAAAGCAGCTGCAGTGAAAAAACGTGCACCGACCCATTGCACTTCCCAGTGACCCTACAAAAGACAGTGTGCTCCCTGCATACTGGAAATAACACCCCCACCCCCCCCAACTGTTGTCGCTCGCCCCACTGGGTTCCCTCTCCCCTGCCTGCCCAAATCCAACGAAAAAGAAGACCACAGAAGCACACAACTCTTCAACACTGCCATCACAAACGTTGTGAGCAGGCACAGGTGCAACTAACCCCACCCGTGCCTAACAAGCGTGGAGCGGTCCGCCGGTCAATGGTGTTCCCTTCTAAATACCGAGTGCAGAGAACACTAAGAAGTGTTGGGCAACCGACAGTGGGAGAGAAGGGACAGTGCACAAATGGGGGGGCGGGAAATACCGCCAGCAACGGGAGAGTTCCGCGGACACTTCTGTCGAACCAACGCCATCGCGTCCGCGTTAACAGTGAGTAAAGGGAGGCTCAATAAAACGTTTACCGAAAAGGCTCGTCACACATCCTATGTACAACACTCAATTTCTGGCATTCCCGTCTCTCGCACCTTTCGTCATCATGTGTGCGTGCAGATGGGTGACGAATGCAGCTAACACGAGTGTTACACGCTCGCCCTATGTACAGTCAGTATATTTACACGCAAGCGTGAAGACACCACTGATGCTTCCATCACTTTGGCGTGCGGCAATTAGGAAAAACTTGAGGAGCAGAGAAAGAACAGGAATGAAAGAAAACCTGGGGGAGGAAGTGTGGTGGGTAACTAACACAGATGTCACGTGGCTGCCATGAAAAGTGCACATTGCACAATGCATCAAACACACACACAAAGCTTCTTAAGAAACGCAGTGACGTGAGGGTGTCAACAGCTCTGCCATTGCACTACACCTGCTAATGGTGCACCGTAGAAGAAAATCAAGAAGATCTCGCTGGACAACCAGGACAGCTGCTGGGGCAGCCCGCCACTATTGCACCCACACAGAGGCGAAGCCACTTCTATCGCGCACCAGAATCGACTAGCATGTGCCGTCGCTACAAGTTGCGCGCTCCTCCGCTCGAGCACCCAACTCGAGGCCCTGGGTTCTGTGACCTTCTCTTGCCACCCGTGTTTGCCACATTAATAAGTTAAAAAAAGGACACGTTACAACAACAGTCTCGTAATTCACCCCAGCCCTTACTTCGCCCTCCCCCCATTGGTCCTTAAAATGCAGTCACAGCCTCCCTATGGCGGATGGCAGGGGAAGAAAATTACGTATCTCCTTAAACACAACTGTCCAGCAATGGCCCGTTTGCAAGCACATTACAACCGCGGCAGTAGCCGGTAAAAACGTGGAGGCTTCCCGCCAGAATCGGCAGCATGTTTTTTTTTTTTTACACGAGGGTCGTCGGTGTCGTCAGTGGCGGGCGACACCGGTACGCGCTGATCGCGGAGAGCTGCGTTGCCTCGTCAGTGGCGGCGCACGACGATGCACCACCCGCTGCTTCACGAGCAGCGGACGACCCGGAGCACCATCCAGCAACTGCGACGTCCTGCCGTACCCATGCCCGTGCAAGTATCGCCGGCCCAACCACGCCTGGCGTGACGGAGTCCCGCCACTCGTGCCCGCGTTGAGGATCACGAGGGAGAGAAGACGGGGAGTGCCGAGCAGTCCGGCGCTTCTCAGTTGCCGTTGCGCGCAGGCGGGGTGGCCGCACCGCTCGGGGTGGAGCCCAGCAGGTTGTTGCGGTTGTCGGTGGTGCCGTAGATCTTGCCGGCCTTCTTGGCCATGGAAGCCAGCAGCTCTTGGGAGTCCTTTAGGGTGGACCGGAGCGACAGGAGCCATTCCTTGAGGCCGATCTCGTCGGGGTTGGTCAGCACCACCTTGGTGTCACCCTTCATCTTGAGCACTATGCACTGCTCCCCTTTAACCTGGACGTAGTCCGAGCACACGTCTTCCAGCTGGTCCATGAAGATGAGCTGCACCCGCCGAGAACACACAAGCCGTGTTACACCAAAAAGCTGGTCAGTGTACACAACACTGTTGGCTAAAAATAGACAATGGCTCTTTTGAGTTTAATAAGAATGTTCGGCTTCTCCCAAAATGTGCATTAAGTGCACAAATTCAGTGGAGCACCCTGCACTATTAAGCCGGGTACTGTGACCACTTCGTTCACTCAAGTTAATCACGACCACAGGTCATTCTCTGCCAATTCCACTCAAACAACAGATTTACCAGACAATAAAACAACAGTATTGTGTATCACTATCGAATATAAGGACATAACACACTATATCTTGTACTAGAGATGACTTAAACCACTGTTGGTATTTATGAAGCGCATTTATAGTCCGTGCTTTGAGTACTAGTCCATGAAGGCACGTAATCATGTGCCAAATCTGAACTAACTGCTAAACAGAGTGTTAGCTAGTGAAGTCGATTTATGCATATAGAAGAGCATGCCATCAGTTACATAGAAGTATGCACTAATTGAAAAAGCTGCTCGTGTGGCACATGATGATGAAGTACGCAAGTTTTTGCCTCAACAACGAAGGTTAGGCACAAAACATTGATTGTTTGCTGCATGCTAAAAGCATTAACAGGGGTCGAAGAGCTGAAGAATACCAAGCATAATATTGCTTTCATTGCATAATGAACTCACTTGCATAATGAACCCACCCCCAGCCTTGGCCCTTGAAAAAAAAACTTATTGTGAGCGCGACAAGCGAAATACTTTTCATTCTCTTTAATTATCATCATCACCTGTACATCTTCATCATCTGTAAATATCATCACTAGTGTGATTTAGCTTGAGCCTGGCTGAATAAACCGGTTCCTCACAAGTCGTGGACGGTACTTTTCGTTCCCCCCAAGTCCTCTCGCCCGTTCTCGCTGGAGCTCCGCTCGGGTCGTCCCATACAACCCCCTGCCATGGCGGCCCAAAAAACCCTGGCCCATCCAACGTCGCCGTCCTACTGCAACCACCGCCACCCGCTCCGCCCAACAACATTCGCCTGCATGATCCACCTGTGTTTTCTGGTCTCCGAGGCGATGATGTAGAATACTGGATCAAGAACTACGACCTCGTCAGCAATTTGAACAGGTGGGACAATCCACAGAAGTTGCGCAGCGTCCCATTTTACTTGTCCGATGTTGCCAAAACTTGATTCTGGAGCCACCACCCGGATCTTCCCGACTGGGACACCTCCGAGCAGCAACTTCGTTAAATTTTTGGTGCCCCTACACTTCGCATTGAGGCAGCAAAGAAGAAGCTCGCTGAACGCACGCAGCTGCCGGGTGAATCTTACACCTCTTATATTGAGGATGTCCTTGCACTGTGCAAGCGTGTTAACACCGTCATGTCTCAGAACCACCAAATACGCCACATTATTAAAGGCATTGACACCGTCGCCTTTAACGCCCTCGCCACGCAAAATCCTGCCACCACCCAGGATGTGATAACCATTTTTCAGCGACTTGACGAGCTTCAGTCTCTTCGCCTCTGCTACGATGCCACCGACATTCGTTTGCCTGCACCCCTCGATTTGCGTGAGCTTATTCGCGACATTGTTTGTGGAGAGCTTCACGGGCGCTGCTCCTCCTGCGCTGCGAAAGTTACTCTTCCTTCTGCAAAAGATAGCTTGCGAGACCTGATTAAACAAAAGATCGCGTCCGCATCGCGTCCGACGTGTTCCAATGGTCTCTGCATGCGCCAGACGCCCACATACGCCGAAGTTGCCGCGCTCTCTGCCACACCCACCATTTCTGTGCCTACACCAGCAGACCATACGCCTGTGGCTTGCTTGTCACCACCAGTGCGTGCACCGCCTTACTAGCGCACCTCAACGCCCACCTCGGCCAATCTGTTACTACTGCGGCTATCGAGGACATATTGCTCGGTTTTGTCGAAGGCGCCAGCAAGACGAGCAACGCGGCTACGCTCCTGGAGAACATCGAAGCTTCCGTCCGACCATGAACTACCTACGACCACCCTCCCGCTCGTCCTATTACCGTTCATCGTCTTCTACCTACCATACTGACATGCCAGCGAATTCCCGTACGTCTCGCCGCAGGTCGCCGTTCAGTGTCACCTCTGCGGCCCGCCTCCCATTCTCATTCAACGAATGCCCATACAGAAAACTCCCCAATGCAGATTTAGGAGGGGGAAACTGCATCCGCTGGACAGCTAACAATTCCTCCAGAGCGACCATCGAATTTGATAGTAGTGTTTGTAGAAGGTGTACTCATTGAGGCTCTTGTAGACACTGGCGCTGCCGTTTCGATTATCCGTGCTGATTTTCGTTCCCGCCTTCGAAAAGTCACCTCGCCTTATAGCGGCCCACCTCTCCGTGCAGCGACCGACTGCTCTCATTTGTCCACTTGCACAGTGTACCGTTCGTGTCTGCATAGAAATCACATCGTTTTCGCGGTATTTCGCGAGTGCACCCACGTTCTCATTCTAAGGTGGGATTTCTCGTCTTCTGCGTCCGCTTTCATATCTTGTCATCAGAGCCTTCTGCATCGAAATGCCATTGACTTTTCTCCGCTTGAGCACGATGGACGCATCCGCCTTGTCACCACGTCAAATTATGTACTTCGGCCATACATCGAAAAAATTATAAGTGTTAATTGCACAGACATTGTGGATGGTGACGTACTAATTCTCCCTTATGGCCATACCCTACGTAGGGGCATTGTGATCACACCAGGGCTTATTCGCTTCTTCAATGGGTCTACCTACCTAACCGCCATAAATCAAACGCCCGAGTGTGTACTGCTCTCCTGCGGTTCAACGGTATCTTGCGCGGTCGACAGTGAGCCTGTTGTAATTGTTACTTTTCTGAACAACAACCACAACGATGTCCCAAAGTCACAATCACTGCCGTTCAATGCCTCTTCCTCACCTGTGTCGGCAACCATAAGCACGGACTTAACACCTGATCAAACTGAAGATTTGCTCGCCCTGTTCAATAGACACTGTTCTCTATTTGACGTGAACTCACCCGCCCTCAGCATGACTACCACCGCTACTCACAGCATCCATACTGATGGCTCTTGTATTGTACATCGGCGTCCATATCGCGTGTCTCGGGTAGAACGCAAGATCACCGAGGAAGACATCTGAGACGTGCTACGACGCAACATCATACGTCCTTGAGTCCCTGGTCATCCCCAGTTGTTCTCGTTTAAAAGAAAGATGGGACAGTGTGTTTCTGCGTCGATTACCGTGCGCTAAACAAAATAACGCGCAAGGATGTTTATCTTCTCCCTCGGATCGACAATGCACTGGATTCATTACAGAGCGCAGAGTATTTTTTTAGCCTCGACCTTAGGTCAGGCTACTGGCAGATACCAATGTCGGGGTCTGATAAAGAGAAGACCGCCTTTTCAACGCCACATAAGTTTTACGAGTTTAATGTGATGCCTTTTGGACTCTGTAATGCGCCCGCTGCCTTCGAACGCATGATAGACGGCGTATTGCGTTGTTGAAATAGAAAACGTGTCTGTGCCATCTCGATGACATAGTAGTGTTTTTATCCACGTTCTCGCAGCATCTACAAAGTCTTGAGGCAGTCCTCACATGCCTTGCAAAAGCCGGTCAACAGCTTAACACCAAGAAATGTACCTTTGCTAGCAAGACAATCAAGGTTCTCGGCCACCTCGTCAGCAAAGAAGAAATTCGGCCAGACCTCGAGAAGCTTGTCGCCGTCCTCAATTTTCCTCGTCCGCTACGTCAAAAGGACCTACGCAGCTTTCTTGGCTCATCTTCTTACTTCCGGCACTTCATACGTGGCTTCACGAAACTTGCATCTCCGCTTGATCAACTCCTCGCAAAGAACGTCCCCTTCGCTTGGTCCAAAGACTGCGAAAGAGCTTTCACGGCATTGAAGCAAGCCCTCACGTCCGATCCGTTACTGTGCCACTTCGATTCAACCGCACCCACCATCCTTCACACCGACGTAAGTAGTCATGGTCTCGGTGCGGTACTCTTGCAGCGTGACAAAAACTCATGCGAACGCGTCGTTGCTTACGCAAGTCGTGTTCTTACCGCTGCAGAAAAGAACTACACTATCACCGAGCAGGAGTGCCTTGCTGTTGTTTGGGCAGTGCAAAGATTCCTACCATGTCTTCACGGCCGTCATTTTACCGTTGTTACAGACCCTAACGTTCTATGCTGGCTTTCATCGCTGAAAAACTTATCGGGTCGCTTCGGTCGCTGGGCACTTCGCTTGCAGGAGTATGAATTTGATGTCACATACAGATCTGGGAAGAAGCATCAAGATGCTGATGCTCTATCGTGCTGTCCTTTGCCCAGCAGAGGCCACTCACCATCGATACTCCAAAACGATAGCGCCTCTCCAAAGCAGCCCTAAGTTCATCACCTGGCACCCTATTCGTCCTTGTTTTCCAACAACGTGTCGACCCGTACTTCCGCACCATTGTTGACCGCTTGACCGGCTCTACTAGTCCTCCAAATGCTAGACTCCGTCGACAAGTTAAACAATTTAAGCTTGTCGGCTGTGCTTTATACCGCTACATTTACCACATCGATGGCAACAAGTGGGTACCCGTCATCCCAAGTTCTCTGCAACATGAAGTTCTGGAAGACTTTCATGATAATCCTACCGCCACTCATCTAGGCTATCACAAGACTGTTACAAGCTGCCACTCTAGCGTCGCCAGCGCGAAGTTGGCGACGGGAATGACAGCAGGTTGGTTCGTTCCGTACGCAAGCAGAGACAGTGAAGAGATCAGAGACGTGAGAAAACAAAACAACTTTACTCTAATGATATTCCAGCACACGGGATCTAATACAACACTTCAATACAACTAACAAAATACATCAACACTTGATACAACTAAAAATATATAAAACCAAAACAATCAACCAGCTTACGAGAGAGAACTATTACAAACTACACAAACTAACAAGAATAGAACGACGGAGGAGAAAGTTCGAAGATATAAACAGGTGAAG